ACATTGAATGTATGGCTTATTTCCTTATAAATTTCTTAGAACCTATGTTTGATTTGTTGTGTGCTTGGAAGCTTTGCGAGTTATAGTTGTGGGTATTGTATTAAGAATTGACTATGAATATTAAACCTTAAATATTAATTGAAAAATACAAGGATAGTATTGGATTATGAATTGTATTGAAGTTATAAGTAATGTCTATCAAGAGAGGATAATGTTAATTAAAATGATATTTGAAGTGATATTGATGATCGACGATTTTAGTTTAGTATTCGAGGCTTGCTTGGGTCGAGGTAGGCCTCACGGTTTCGTCGATCCTTACATCGATCGGGGCCCACTCTCAAGTTATGATAATATTATTCTTCCATATAAACGATATCAATTTGTTAGTTATTATATCCTTCAAGGTCTATACTTCCACCCACTTGTAAAAATGATCAATAGAAACTAGTACAAATTGTCTTTTTTCTTAAGATTTTGGAAAAATGGCTAAGTATATCCATTCCATATTAAGAAAAAGATCATAGTAAGGAAATGATTGTATTTCTATAAATGATTAGCAAGAGATCGGGGAAAATCTCTAGTATTTCTCACCTTCTTGACCAACACTTCAATATCTTAGAGGATTGAAAGCTAATAAAAACCCACACGATTAGCTTGGGCGACTAAAGCCCTTAATTCTATAAATAATCCATATATTTTCTCTTGTATTTCTCATATCACATACTAACTTTCCTCGTATTAGATATATTTTACAAGAGGTTTCATGGTAAACCTTTTGTATAGTTATTTGTCTAACATAAAGTACCTAACAATTCTTCTCATCAAATGACTAACTTCTACGTTATTTGAAAAAAGTTCCTCACTAGTCAAAAATTATTTTATCTGCATCCATCAATCCTCAATGATAGGTTGTTAGGTCGTGAAACAAATTATTATATTTTGATCTTGTATGCTTAGTTCCTTAAATAACCTCTATTCATATCTCAAGTGGGAGATCTACATGGTTTGTGTTGGCCAAAATCCGATAAGAGATCTCCGGGCTATTCTCTTCTCTTAGAGTTTAGGAGATGGTCATCACATTTTTTATAGTAATGTCGAGATATCCTTGATTGATCGAAGGGTAAGCATTCTCTAAATTGGACTAGATCCCTCTAATTCTCTTAAAAAATTCCCAAATCTTATCCTTTTAATCGATGAATGCACATTTAGAGGAATTTAGCTTTATCTAGTGTTTATAGAGCATTGAAAACACCTTTTGGAGATACTAGATATGTTTTTTGAAACTCATACTTTTGGCTAACATATTATTCATACAAGCTTCTATACTTCTACCTAACTAACCCTTGAATACCTTATCCATAATTCTTTGATAAGCCCCCTCATATTTTTAAGTCCGAAAGGCATATCTTTGTAGCAATTTGTTCTTTTATTTCTCCTCATCCATGAGATGCATGAAGATTTAGTGGTAACTCTGAGTTGGTTTTTAAGGAGCTTAAAAATTCAAAACTAGTAGTGAAGTTAACCAATTTGTTAATTTTAGAGAGAAAGAAGTTATCTTTTGGATAAGCCTTGTTGAGATCATTGAAGTCCACACACATCCTCTATTTTTTATTAGGCTAATTGAACACTACTACATTGGGCAACCAATTGAGGTACATGTATTTCTTAATAAACCCCACCTCTAAAAGCTTATTGATTTCTTCAATGATTGTCTTACATCTTTCTCTCTCAAATTTTTTTTTCTTTTTAGCGAGATAAAAGTAAAAGAAGGATTGATATTCGGTTGGAGTAAAGGGATGTTCGGTCTAACTTTAAGCATGCCAACCATTTTGAAGGTGAATTTGGATTTTTGGATTTGAAAGAGCTTAGCAAGCTACTCTCTATAGTCGATCGTCAAAATTGATCGAATTTTGGTCATAGAATATGATGGTCTTCTTCTTTCGATTCATATTTTATAACTCTTACGTCACTTATATTCATATTCTTTTTTATTGATATTTTCAAGTATCGAGCCCCTTTGTTCCTCAACCATCATGGTGTTATTCTATTTCAAACATGAGAATATGCATTTGTGAGAGGCTAATTGATTACCTTTGATCGTACCCATACACCCTTTATGGAAAACTTCAAGGCCAAATATTTTGTACTAATGGTTACATTTATTTCATGGAAGAAGGCTTTCCAATGATGACATTTTATGGTAAATCCATTTTTATAACTATTAAAGATCTAGCAAGGAATTCTACTATAAAGGAATGCATCTATAATGAGTGGTATTTTAATGGCCTCTTCTAGTGACATTTATCTTCCTTCCATCTCTACTAAAAAAAGTCTTGAATGGGATTAGTTTGGAGGTGTCAATCTTTATCAAGTCGAGGACTTCTCTAGAGATTATGTTTATGATGTTATCGTTATCTATAAGTACTTGATATACCTTATAATTGTAAAGGACCATGGTGATGAAAAAAGCATCTTCGTAGGGAAAGGTCGCTCCTTTTATATTTTTGAGAATGAAAGTAATGAGTTCATGTCGGGAGACGTGCGAAGTAGTGAGGACTTGTTTTTGGTATGCTTTCGTTTCTTTATTGGAGCCTCCTCCTATCGAGAGCTAATAAAAAATAATATTAATCTCTAAAAGAGCATTCGGCATTCGTTCGGTCATTCTTTATTCTTATTGAAACCGGATCCCTCTTTTATGAATTGCTTGAGATAGACCTTAGTAATTAATCTCTCTATTTATGTTTTCAATGTAAAGCAATTTTTAATTTAATGTTTGTTCTCCTTATGAAAAAAGGAGTATCTCTTTTAATTATAATAATGGGAATGGCTTTTCATAGCAGAAGGATAATTCATATAGTTTTTTCTTTATATAACGGTATACATTTCCATTCAAATAATATTTAAGGGAGTGATTTGGAGTTAAAAAAAAAAGATGGCTATAAACACACCCTCTGTGTCTTTTTTGAGCTCGGACGAGTCTTATGAAGAGTTATCCCTTTTTGTTTTCTCTTCTCTTAATTTTTAAAAATAAGGATGAGTAAGTTTAACGATGCTAGCCTCTTTTATTCGAATGTAACTTTCTATCACTCGTTATACCTAAATAAGACCCTTTTTTTAAAGGAAAAAAAAAAGATCTTTTCATGAGTCGGTACCATAAACCTTACCTATCAAGGCTTATGTGGCCATATGCTCTAATAAGCCATCTACCTTCGGTATTTTCTTATTAAAAGTCGAAGAGTTAAGCTTAAGTACTCTTATTTTCTTTTTGGATGAAAATAAATAAGTTAATAGAGCTTTCTTAACATCAATGTAGATGGAAATCTAGTAAGAAACTTAGATCATAGATCCTTAAAGCTAAGTATGGACTAGAGATCTAAATTATTGTATCAATTTCTAACTATTCTCTAAAGGTAGTTGAAAAGATCTTACATGTGATATTGTGTCTTGGAGTACTAAGTAAAGAGTGTATTTAGTATTTTACACATGCTTTTGAGGGGTTGGTCAATCCATCATAAAGATCTATGTTTATTTTTATGATGATAAACTCTTTTAGAAGCTTATTGTTTAGAATGGGAAGGACAAGTGGAGGGCTCGAACCCTATGATCTTAGTGATCCGGTTCAAGTTCGCTGAATAACCATCAACTTCAATCCTATTCGTAGACATTAAGGTTTAGGATTGATCGAGGTCATTTGAGAATACGAGCTTTCTTCATGTTGTCTCTCCTAGCAATCTTTATGATTTTAGTGATGGTCCGATAATTTTTTTCTCTCTTTCCCAGTTTGGAGCTCTAATTAGCCGATTATTTTTTATAACCGTGAAAAGGACTTCTCAGAGGTTAGAATTTCTCTTCTTTCATCATTTACTTCATTATGCTCATTTGTCTCCTCCTCAAATGATAGCTATTTACAAATGTTTTTAGGAGAAAAGGGTGAAGGATTTTTCTAGCATAATGGAACTAATGACAACATTGGTTTCGCATGTGGTGTTGATGATGGAGCAAAAAGAGCCTCGAGTTGTTCTTGTATGACTAGAAGGGCCTCGTCAATTTTTGAACTCATTGCTGCAACATGAGAAAGTCAACGAGTTGAATAATAAGGCTTCGAAAATATGACTTTTTTGGTTTTCAGCCATGAAAAGAGCTTGAAAATGGAGATAAACGAAGCTTTTAGTTCGGATTCCTCATAGACGATGCCACTAAATAGGTCATAAGACTCGATAGGGTGACGTGACTCTTTATCACATCTAATTTGAAGATGGTATTAGTTGATTGGTAGTGGTTGTAATTGTCTAATGGGTTTACCCTATATTTAGTCTCCGTACGGTTCAAATTTTTTTGATTGAGACCCTCTATAATTTTTCAGTTTGATTGAAACTCTCTACTTTTACAAATTTATTGATTAAAACCCTCCGTTAATTGTGCATCTTATGTGGCATTTTAAAACTAACGGTGATCAATCATACATGGACATTTGGCATTGTATACTCCAATTGTTTCATTATACATCCGAGCAAAAAAAACTAAAATTAAAAAATATTCTTATTATTAATATAATATTTAGTATTTAAAAATGAATAAAAAAGATGAAACTACCCTAGTTAGTTTATTTATTATTAAACAAATTTTGTTTTTTTATTCTAATTCGATTAGTTTATCTCTCAAACCCAATAATCTTTTTCAAAAATTGCAACGTGGGCCAATGTAATTTTGTTTCTTGATTCTAATTCTTAATATGTATCTCCCAAACCCAAAAATTTTTTCAAAAATTTCTACTTGGGTCGATGAAAATTTTGTTTCTTGATTGTGATTCGAGTATATCTATCAAAACCAAGATTCTTTTCGAAAACATATTACCTAAGTCGGTGCAAAGTTTGTTTCTTGATATAGATTACGGGTTTTGGGACTTAAATAATACTTATTTTGTGCTTGTGATTTTTGTTTTGAAAGTAGATTTGATGAATAATTTAGGAACAATTGCTAGATCGAAGACGAAAGAGTTTATGTGCAAGCTAGTGGTCGATGTAAGTATGATTGGACAATTTGGTATTGGGTTTTGTTACGCTTACGTTGTCACCGAAAGGGTTGTTGTGACTTCTAAACATAATGATGATGAGCAATATGTTTAGGTGTCATAAGTTGGTGGTTCTTTCATCGTTACAAGGGATGTTGATCGAGAGCAACTTGATATAGGTACTAAGAATATCCTTTTTCTCAAGGAGGATCATGTAAATAAATTATCCTAATTAAATTAATAATTTTTTTGGATATTGTTGTTTCTCGCTTGTTTATGTTAGATTTGATGTAGGCTTCGACTTGATGTTTTTGTGTTGATATTTTTTGTAGCTTGAGTACTTGGAAGAGAGGAGGATTAAGGATCTTGTGAAGAAGCACCTTGAGATCCTATCTGTTTGTGGACTAAGAAAACGATTGAGAAGAAGATCGGTGACAATGAGGATGATGAACCAAAGAAGAAAGAAGAGGATGATGTTGAGGAAGTTGACGAGGAGAAGGAGACCAAATCCAAGAAGAAGAAGATTAAGGAGGTTTTCCATGAGTGGCAGCTCATTAACAAGCAGAATAACATCAAGCTTATGGAATGGTTTCGATTGAGAAAGAAGAAGAGGAAAAGAATAAGGAGAAAGAGAACAACAATGCTTCTTCTTTCTTTTTTTCTTTATTAGTTATTGATAATGAGGTGGGCCAATGTGGTCTTTTCTCATTTATTTTTAAATCCTAAATGTTTGTTTAATAATAAAAAAAATGAACTTTTTTTTTTCATTTCGGACAAATATTATAAGAGTGGGACCTATTACAACACATGTTAGTTCGTGATTGGTTATCGTTAATTTTAACGTGCCACATCGAATGAATATTTAACGGAGTTATAACGAGAGGTCTCAATTAACAAATTTGTAAGAGTATAAGGTTTTAATCAAGCTAAAAAATAGTAGAGAGTTTCAATAAAAAAAAATTGAAATTATATAAAAACTAATTATAGGATAAACCCATAGTATAATATATGCAATATAAATTCTTCTAGTTAAACGAACGATCATCTTATGACTAAGTTAGTAAATAGAAGGCAAGAATGCAAATAATACAGGTATTAAAAGAAGAAGATGCATACGGAATGAGAGAGGAGATTCTAAATCATTAAATAATACAGTTTCATAATTGTTTATATAGCAATAAAAACCTATCAAGTTGCATGGAGAATAGACTATAATCGACTATTCTTCTGCTACAAATAGCCTCTAATACCGACTAACAGATAAGTATATTGGATATTAACGGATTCTTATTTAACAAATATGATGATTATTGTTCGTCAGATGAAAATGACCTTAGGAACAGTCCAAAGCTGAGCATTTTACATCTGTTTGGGTTTTGCCGTTGTGAGCTTGCATGCGCCCAAGTTATGAGTAAGGGACCAATAGATGAGAGAGGGGTCTTTATCTTTCACGTGTCAACCACCATATGGGATTCTGGGACTTTCAAAAATACACGTGTACTCGGATGGATCCCAATCTACTCCATTGCGAGAATGGTCTCCGATTTGAATGCTTTTAAATGCCATGCGGCTCTTGGTCTAGAAAATTTCTTATAACAATCATGCTGAAATATCAAGCAGTTGGCATTTTCGACTTGGCATTGTTTTCACTCTTGAAAAAATATAAGGAGGAATTAAATTGTTAGCTCACTGTAATTAATTAAATTAATTTCCTCCTTTTATTCTGAATTCGTATCGATTAAATAATCATGTAGATCAACGATTTATTGGCTAATTTTGTCATTTTGTAAGATTTAAAATTTCTAAGGTACCTAATTACAATCCCATTGATCCAGCCACGAAAAAACCATCAAAGGAGGGGTCAAATGAAGGTGCTTTAAGATGCTTTCAAAACTATTTTTTTAAAAGACCAAAAAATACAGTTGATTAGGGTAGATAATACCAAATTAATTATTGATGAAAAGAAAGCCAATGTGACTAAATTAATTGCTCTTTCGAATGGCCTTGATTGATGAGAGCTATGAAGGTGCTAACCAGCTAGCACAATCTGTGAATGGTGACCTTTTGTCTTGTTGAATAAAATTGCACTGATTGTTAAGTCAAGCCATGTGTGACATTTTTTTCCAATTATTATTATTATTTTGGCAAACATTAAATATACCACCAATGACGGATGTTACTAATTTTGCTTTCAAACTATTTTTTATATCAATTTCGTCACTGAACTATTTTAATTTTTTAATTAAAGACTTCTTTTACAATCACTTAAAAAAATATTAAGTTTTTTTTTTTTTTTGCAAAATGAAGTTATATATATATATAGGATGAAAATATAGACTAAAAACCTTAAAAATAGATTAAAAAATCTTTTATTAAGAATTTTTGAAAGTTCAAAAGTAAAATTGATACCAAAATTATTCGAAGATACTATTAAAACTATTTATATAGTTGAATGATATTTTTAGAATTTACCAGTTTTTCTTTTTTAGATGAACCATATTCCTTCCTTCTCAATATTCTACTTGTTTATTTAAAAATTGAAATGTAATACTCCCTAGACATAACGAGAGAGTCCAATGTCCTTTATGAAAGTTAGGACTTTGTTATTCCTATATTCAAAAGATATATAGTTGGCGCTATCGAGAATAGTAAAGATGAATTAATTATATATACATATCAAATTTATGAGAAATTTTTTAATATTTACGAAATAATTATCAATAATTAGTTTATAAACTAAACTTTTTTAAACCGCTCACAAAAAATTATGTAATGTAAGCTATCAAGAAAACTCTGGATGGGTCGTAGATATCAAATTTTATCTTTAGGAAGAAAAGCAAGTAATAAGTTATCATATATTCTAAAAAATAATTAATTAGTTATCGTAGGAGAAATATTCAAATAACTCGAGATAAAAATGTAATTAATTATTGTAGCTGAATAAGTAAAATGGATGAAAATTCTAAAAAAAAATCGTAAAGAAAAATTATATGCAACCGATCAATCCTCTTGATTATGAACATTCATCAAGCAAAATCTGCTGATTTATAGTGATTTGAAACTTTCTTTGTATTTGAGATATTGACTTGAAAGTTCAGAAATTTTAAATTGAAGTCAACAAGAAAACTAATATTGACTTGAAAGATTATATTTTAATATTTTTGTTAGATGTTTTGTTTAATTTATTAAATTATAATTTCTATAACTAACGGATATTAGAATTAGTGATTTATGTTGTTTTAATTTTGATTTGATAAAATTATTATATTTTATAATTCAAAAAAAAAAAAATCAAGCAAATTTTATTGTGTTCGTTGAGCTCTTTCCATGTACATACGGTAGCATCAAACAAGCTTTCGGATCTTTGGTTCCAGCCATTTCAATATGCCACTCTCACTTAGTTTTGGCTTCACTTTAAAGTTTTTTAAAACAAATTCATAATATGAACATACCAAAACAAAACATGATGATATAGATTAAAACAAGGCGGCTTCTCGAGGAGAACGAGTAGGGAAAGGTCAGCTGTGGTGGAAACATAAATTAATCAATAATCACAAATCGACTGACATTTTAAACCTGATTAATTGATCATATAATAAATAATAGTCAATTTGTTAGCAGTGAGACCAATTCAATAATCTCTACTAAATAGTTTAAAATAAATAAAGAAAATGCATTTCTCCATTTTTTTTGGTAGAATCATTGATTCTAATTTAATTTCTTTATATCGTGAGTAAGTTTGTAGTCCTACTTAATTTACCTTTTTAAAAAAGATTGAAAAGAAAAGGCTACGTTCAAGCCAGTTTCAAAAATCAAGTTTTTTTTTTAATCATTATAGTATTTTTAGATTAGTTTTACTTATGATATCATCATCGATCGAGTTATCATCTATCTATTATTTATAATAAATAAATAAATAAAAATATTTACCAACATAGGAAACCCTTTTTTTATAAAAAAAAAGATAAAAACAACGTTTCCTTTCTCTTATTTTATGCCTTTTTAAGGGAAAAAAAAATCGCTATCAATCTTTTTGTGATAATGGAATTACATGAATCTCAACAGAAAAAAAAAAAAAGTCTTGGTATGTTTGACCAAGTTGCCTCGTTATGACCTTCTCTCCAAACCAAACCACCAGGCCATTGTTTATCTTCTTCTTTTGTGTCCCCTTCTAATAATATAAATATATATAAAGAAAAGAAAAGTCGCATGTATTCATTCTTTTATAGCCCATCAAGAAAGGTCTAGAGAGAAAATTAATGGCTGGTTTGCAAAGATCTGCTGTGTCTTTCAGGAGGCAAGGTTCTTCAGGGCTTATATGGGATGATAAGCTTATCAAGGAAGAGCTAAACCAAGCCAACGAAAAGCAAGAACACGAAGAACAAGAAGCACACACAGAAATCAAGCTAGAGAAAGATGTAAGGCCATCTTTAAGATCATCAACGACGCCCCACATCACCATAGAGAGAAGTCGATCCAACGGTGGACAACGTGGCTACCGCACCGGCAGGGTGTCTCCGGCAATAGAGCCTCCCTCTCCAAAGGTGTCTGCATGTGGGTTTTGTGGTGCTTTCGGAAAACCAGCAAAAAATCATCGGAAAAAAGCCGGTATGGGTAGATCTCGATAGTTTACGTTATTTCCGATGGAATATTCCGGTGGAAATGAGGTGTGGTTATTTCTATAGCATGGGCATATTCATATAAAGTGCACTATCTTCTAGGTTTGTAGTTTTCTTAAAAACTTGTCAGTTCATCTCAATAAAGTGAGATATAGGACTTGTTAGAACAAAACCAAGTTATGGATTGCATTTTAGTTTTGTTAATTATTTATTGTGCCAGGTTATATGTGCTCTTTGCCTTTTTATATGTTTAGATTTTAGGTATGGTTTATGTTTTGGGTGCTTCCAGTTATGTGTACATGGGTTCGTCCTTGATTATTATTTTTTTCTTTTTTCTTTTGTACAAATTCAAAATTTAATTCTGTTTCTCTTCCATGTCTGTGCATCTTGCCTCTGATCTGAAATCTCATCCTGACTATATGGTAGCTATTTATGCAAAGAAATTTTATGAACGTCTGAATAATCAAACATCGATCGCAAAACTAGCTGGAATTCTCGACATATGGGAGCTAGGACTAGCATTTAGGATCTTCCCTCGCTCTCAAACTGTGAAAAGAAATGCAGAATCTAGGTGAATCTGACCTTTTAGCCCTGCTTCCCCTTGGCAGAGATTTATCGGGATCACCAAAGATCGGTGGACCCTGTTAAAAGATTGTTGCAGTTCGTTAACTACTACTAATAGTAATGCGTTTTTTCCACTGGTACAAGTAAGTGGTTTAGGTGATACACCTACTTCCCTGCAACTTTATTCTGATTCGGACCGAATAAGCATCCACCAAAACGAGAACCATAACCCCAGTGCTACTCTGCTACTACTACTACTTACATGGTAGGTCGGCTAGGAAAGGCGAGTACAGCCCAGGCCAGTAGATAAATGATAATGCCTTGATTTGTTGGGTAAATTTGTGATATCTGAACCCTTTCTAAACATCCCATTTTGCAGTTTAATGTCTCCAGGCAATAATTAAGTGCAAACTACAAACAAGCCTGTCTTTTTGTAGCAAAGTATTCACATGCGCTCAGATGATGATGTCTTGAACTTGATGGTTTGGTTCCAACCACACATGTTTGGACAGTCATCCTCAATATTTTTATTTTTGGTGGGGCGAGGGGGTGGAGGCGGCAGATTTAACTTTTCTCTGGCAAAGTTATCATTAATAAAAATACTATAGGATATGAATTTTTAAAATAATGTGTTTTTTTTTTATGTACAAATTTGTTTTTATTCTATAGTTAATTAAAGCAGTGAATTACTAAGAATCAACTCCCTGTTATTTTTTCAAAAATTCTCATTCATTTTAATTATTTGCTTCCATGTTGCCCATCCTATATTCTATTTTAATTTAGGCTAACATAAAATTTTTACTTAATTTATTTTAGTCTCAGCATTTATATAGTATATTTTCGGCCAAACTCTTTTTCATGGGTTATCAGAATCTTCGTTTTTAAGCTACAAAGTCACCTTAGCAATAAACCCAGTTTAACTTCAATTATTGAAGTACTTTAAGATAGATCATTAAATTAATAATTTTTTGAATTTTTTTCCCCTAAAATAAGGATATTTTCAAAACTTAATTGTCTACATAATTTGCTTTTAAACTTACCAAACTAAGTTAATGTTTGCCACGGTTGCATTAAAACACAATTAATTAAGGTGACATGAAAATAAAATAGTAATAAAAAAGAAATTATTTTTCAACAATCTTAAGCTTCAGCCTTTTTTTCTTTTTTTTTAAACTTTGGGTCTTTCCCTAATATAGGTTTAATATTTTCATTATGGAAAAACATCACCTCGTAACTTTTGTTTCTCAATTCTTACCAACAAAAAAAAAAATCTAAATACTTACGAGTCTTAGTAAAAATTTTGTTATTGTTTTTTATAAGTCTGGATGTGATTTTTGTTAATTTTTTTATTTGTCTTTTTCCTTAAAATATTGATTGTTACTCATGAAATGCTGTAAATTTTTTCAGAGTGAAGGGTTGAATGAATGTAATTTGGATTTAATTATAAATTAGACTTCAATTTCCAATAGGAGCTTCTTTTCAAAATTTTTCATGGAACATCAGAGCTCCATGCATAGTCGATATCGTCCTTAAAAAAGTCACATTTCCAAATTTGCGTTTTAATCTTATATATAAAATATACACATACATTATACATATAGCTTGCTTTAAAAGATTAAGAGACGCTCAATTACAATCGAGAAAGATTTCATTAATTATTTGCTACCGTAGAAGTAAGAACAAGAACAATAATAAAACCCTAGCCACTCTCTCCTTCCTCTTGATTCTATCTAAAAAAAAACTATAGCTGTTGCTGATGATTTTCTCAAAACGGCAGCCCTTCATCTCCCTAATTCTTCTTCTTCTTCTTCTTTTTATTTTGTTTTGCTTTTTTTCTTAATTAAGTATGTTAACATTTTAAATCTAAATTTTAAATTTAGAATATTTAAAAATTGATTTGTGCACATAGCTCTTATTCTTTTAGGATTTTTTTTTTTTTCGAATAAGGCTTTGAAGTCTTTTTAGTGGGTACGTTGTGGAAAGTGTTTTTTTTTATTGGTAGAAGAAGATTGATGTTCTTTGGCAGTTTTTAATGATTAAGATTTTTTGCGAAATGGAGTTTGGAAATGTGCTTCATTCTTCCATTGATTTGCTAAACTCAACTATGTGCATGACGTGTAAAAATTCTCATTTTGGACCATTCTCGTCCAGAAGTTTCAGTGAGTTTTTATTAATGTTTACGAAGAGACTATTTGCTAGTGAAAGATCATTATTCATTATTATTGTAAAAAAAATTTCAATATAACAAATTGTAATATCCTTCTCAATTTTTGATATCATTTGTGTCATAAATATGATGATTTCTTTGATTTGTATTATTTCAAAAAAATTTATCCTTTATTAAAAAAAAGATAGAACAATAATCAAAATGAAGGGGAATGGAAAAAAAGTTTACTTCTTTTAAGTAATTTATTTGGAATAAGAAATTTAATTCAATTAGAGAGTTTTATTAATATATATATTATAAGGACCAAAAAAAATTTATATGGTGATGTGGAGATTACATAGTTTATAGCACCCGAGCTTGGAAATAAGTTTGCAAGAACATTGTTTTTGGAATTAATTAAGTTTTTAGATTACCCTAATTTGAAAAAAAAATCAAATCAGTTGGGACTAAATCTATTATATTACTGCTTAATTATTTTAAAAATATTATATAACCTAAAAAATTTATTAAATTCATGTGAATGCATCATATCGATGTGAGAGTGTGCTTTTAAGATTATTCGAATAAAAAAATTAATTTCAATTGATAAATAAACTGGTCCTATTATACCTTTTGACAAATAAAAAAATTAATATATAATGTATCATGTACAAATTTGCATAATTGTTAAAATTATTTGATGGGCTCATGTTTCACAAGGAATGAAAAACGCGCACTATAATTAATTTGTATTCATGTATGTTTAACATAAGAAGAAAAATATAAAATCAAAATTAAGTTGAAAACAGAGAGAAAGCATGGATTGTCTAAAAAAAACAGGAAAAAATAAAATACAGATAAAGCATAGAAAGGGAAAAATCTAATTATAATTGGCCGTATTTTTTTAGGACACACATATAAAATAATCTAATGAATTCACCATTTATTTCTTCGAGTTACATTTCTTTTCTTTTAGAACAGTTAAAATAAACAGATACTTCTTAATTATATGCACTTTCCGGTTATCTTGGGTAGAAGAAATTAACTAAAACAGAGCATATCCAAATTGAATTGATTGTAATGTCACTTTAATTATATATTAAATCTCAAACGTTTTTATAAGTTTTAAATATTTATTTCAAGGATTTATCTCGATTATATACTAGGATATATGAGTGGTTTTTTTTTTTTTTTGTTCTTCTGATTTGATAATATCAAGATTAATAACAAATTAGTATCATACAATATTATTATTAAACACAAACTACTGGAATAAATATAATTCTACTAATTAGTTACCTGTTTAGAATCTCAAACTTTTTTATAAGTTTTAAATATTTATTTCAAGGATTTATCTCGATTATATACTAGGAAATATGAGTGTTTTTTTTTAAATCAAGATTAATAACAATTTAGTATCTAGTTAAAAATTAAATTAATCATATAAATATCATAATTAAACACAACCTTCTATAGTAAATATTATTTACTAATTAATTATTTACTTGAAATATATTTATTAAAAATCAGGAATATATATCCTCTACTTACAACTTTCATTTTCTCAGTAATGTTAAATAGGCTTTCTCTCTTTTTGTTTATAAAATTTATTTAATACACAATTTAGTGTACTTTTTTGCCTAATTTTTTATAGTTTGCATTTTTTTCGTTCATTTTTAATTACAAGTAATATTAATCAATTAATTTGCTGAATCAAGTCTATAATTTTTAAGTTTTTTTTATTAATAAAACGCAGTAAAACGCGATTAATCGAATAGTTATATTATAAATTTAATAACAGTATCTGCATAATGATGCATAAATATACAAGTTAGATGTTTTATTTAGTTAGGTGGTCACGGCGTCACAAAAAATGTGCCAAATTTAGGACGGTGAGTATCTATTTCCCCCACGTGTCTGGTCTCTACGCACCCCACCCCACCCCACTTCTAAAAAAATCGACGGACAACTTCGCCAGTGCGATCTAAACTATATCCACTCATGCCTTTACATGATAGCAAAATTAGAGTCATTAATATTTATTTAAAAATCCATTTAATTATAACACCCCTAGGAATTGCATATCAATCTTTGACTGTATTTTTTGTTCTCAGGGTGAAAGTGATGTAATTCGGTATCGCAATGGTAAGGTATACGAATCGGAAACGGGCCTTTCGTATGAGAACAAAATTTATTTCGACAAAAATTAAGTGAAAAAAATAAATTTAATTTCTTAATTACAAAGGAAACATAAAAATATCTTAATTTATTCTGACAAATTTGAGGATTTTTTTACATGTAATCACCGTAGGTACGAAAGAAATGACCAGAAAATGGGAAAAAATCAATAACAAATTGACGCTTCATGCATGGTTTATACTTTATGGTGTGTTTGTGCATAGTTTAACTTTTCCTTTTCGAGATCGTTCTGTTTATTTATTATTATTTTTTTCTGTTATGTGTGCAACCAAAAATACGACAATTCACACTCGTCAACTCTTCATGATTATCTTCGATCTGGGTTCATCCACTTCGTCTTATTGAAAAGCGATATTCAGGCACTAATGGGAACTCGTGACATTCTCAATTAATGATGGAGAACCAGCCGAGATGTGGTCTCTATTCAGTTGTCAATAACCCAAACAAACACCTTTTTATTTGATATACATGTTTATAGCTGTCAATTGACTGGATTCGGAATGGATTATATTAGATTCAATTTGTTTAGTATAACAATTCTGATGAAATTTTATACATTTGGATTGAGTTTTTTTTTTTTTTTAAAAAAAAACAATTGGATACAACTCTTAACGGATTTAGATAGAAATTCAAAGTTTTATTGAATTTATTATTTGATTTTTATAAAAAATTTATACTTATTATATTTCATATATCGTTCGAATACGGAATAAATTTCAATCACTATATATATAACAAAATATATCAAGATAATATTTTATTTATTGATTTTGTAAAAAAAATAAAAATGTTATATAATTCAAAAGCACAAAATCAAATAATTTTAATAAAAATTTATCTTGAATTAGGTAGAAATATGATAAAACTAAAAAAAATAAATAATAAATAATCTTTATTTCTTGTCTAAGGGGAAGCAAAAATAAAATGATGATAAATATAACAGCACCATGTCTTGAATATATATATATATATATATATATATATATATATATATATATATATATATATATATATATATATATATATTTTTTTTATGAAATTGAATTAAGAAAATGAAAAAAGATTTATATGTAATTTTTTGAAAATACAGTCGTCATTGTTGAAGGATATACGTTATTTGAATTTTATAATAAACAAATTCTAAATTACAATATAGTTTTATATTTATATATTTTTTCATATTTAAATTTTTTCTATTTTAAAAAATATTATATTTATTATGAAAATATTATTTTTAATTTGGATCGAATTATTATCGAATCGGATCAAGATAGATCTAGATTTAATTCATTTAATGAGTTAAATAATCAAAATCAAATTAAAAAAATTATTTATCATATTTATTTAATTACGTTATCAGTATGTAAGGAATGGTAATATTTTAACCAATCATTTGGGTCGATGGTCTCTGGTTGAGTCACATCTCAATTACTTTAGGATTTGGGAAACTTTCCTTCCAGGTACCTGCATCTTTTTCAAGCCAATGCTTTTCAATAAGCCAAAAAAAAAAAAAAAAACAAAAAAAAACAAAACCAACAACAATAATAACTAGAGGCAACTTCTTCCAGTTGATCAGCTCGTGATAGTTTCTATCTTGTAGTAGTTTGTTTTTCTTATCTACACACAATCTAAGGTTTATGTGGTTTTTATATATGTATTTAGATCCTATTTTATTTTATGGCCTTATAATTCATAAATCAAGATATAGTTCGTTGTAAAGTTAATCACTCTCAAACACTATATAATCACGATCATGAAAAAAAGATCACATCTATTATGAATCTATGTAATAAAATAAAAATTAATATAAAGTAAATAAAAAATTTAAGAATTCACTATCAAAATCAAGAAATCAGTTATTATATGAAGACAAAGTTTTTTTTTTTTTTTTTTAGACGCATATCCCCCTATTGTAGAACTAGCGGTTAAATTTAACAAAAACAAAAGCTACATATTAAAAGTTAAAACAAAAAAAATGAAATAAAGAGCACAGTTAAAAACCAATAATAAAATACAGAACAGGCATTAAGCAAAGATAAACAGATGACCACGGGAATATTGGTTAACAAGGAAAAAGAACAAAAGAAAGAAAAGAAAAGCAACGGGAAGACCTGAAACGACATCACATCAAGAAAAGGAGAAGTCCGTGACAGGGGCTTTCAATTTAGACTCTTACATAGATTCGCTAGATCTCTCTCTTTGATAAATCTGTCGCCACCAGGTTTCTGATGCTCACGTTCGCTTTAACAGAACATGAAGAACCTGGGATTTGGTGTTTCTCCAAAATGTACCACCACTATACATGTGCTTCTATGTGCATGTTTTGTAAGCGTACAAGGATTTGACTCTCTCCTACAGCTCCCACAAACTGGGTCAGCAAGAATCCGTTGCAGTTCCAAAAGGGTCCTTTTTGTTGGTGATTTCGGTACTAAAGGAGATGGTCTTAGTAATGATACTGAGTTCTGTCATCATTTTGAGCTTATTATATAGTTTCCTCATATATATTGTTTTTTAAAATTCTTCTTTTGTGAGACACGATTTGATTATTCTATTCTATTCGAATGTATATCATTCGATTTGATTTGTTAGTTTTTGTCAATGTGGTGTTAAACGTTGAATGCCTGATTTTATTTAGAGTTTTCTTGGCTCCGTGCCTCTGTAGGGTATCAAGTGAGATTCTGAGCAAATTAGCATTCATAATATTTTGGACAATTTTGAGTAATTTTATGTGCGGGAGCACTAATTGAAGGATTCCCATTTCTTTTCTTTTTGGTGGAATGTAAGATTAGTGACAAATTTCATGATCATGTGAGCTTGTTTGGACAACAAAACTTGGTCAATGATTGCATCCTGCCAACCATGCTTTCCATCCCTCCATTGATGCTTGAATTCACCGCAAAATTTAGCATCATGACCCCAAGATCCCACGTGAACCTCACCGTGTATTTCTAAACTTCCTCACACCTGATCTGACAAAATCATACGCATCCATAGGCACCTGTGCAATCCTTGGTATATCTTCCGATAGAGGAGGCGGAAATCGTTCTCTGGCCCTATATGTATCAAACTCAACAAGAGTAGATGGATTTCCAAGACCCCAAGGTTTAGGCTCCTCAAGGAATCCTCTGTCGATCACTTTCTTTCCAATCATTCTGACTGGTTTCGTTCTTCTGCGTGAAGGATACTCTGGTATATCCACACCAGCTTGGACCTTGGATGCAGAGTTCTACAACAGCTGGAATCCTGTCATAGTGAAATCGAGTTTCGCGCTTGACTCGCATACCAAAAGGGTCATAGAGATGATAAGACTCAACAGGTACAAGTATGTCATTGATTGAACCCCTGACCCATAAACGGAGGCTGTGACGGTTCCTACTGGTTGGACCAAGACAGTCCTCAATTTGGTAACCTTCCGGGGCCACATGAACTTCTGAGCATTCACTGCAAAGGAGTTATAACATGTTAATACGTTCATCATGTAAACCAACTTCCCTTGAATTAACCATTTGAAAATTAGACCATAAGAACTACAAAAATAATTTACCTGCAACCTTATACAGGAATAGTGTGCAAGAGCTGCGCAACACCTTCAATCAAAACTTTCCAGGCATCTAGTACCTCATATGCAAGAGGAATCAGGTCAGGGACAAGTATTCCATTTTTTGGAGGTTGAAGGGGCTTCTCAATACCCATTTCCGCAAGTTTGTTAGCCTCACTTGCAGCCTTCTGGATCTTCTTAAATAGAATGGGAAAGGGTTTCTTTTTATTCTTAGGAAGTATGGTTGGAAGATCCACATTATGAGAAATTGGTTGTTCTTTCCTGATGAAGGGGTTTTGTCTAGCCCTCTGCCTGGCCCAGAAAATAGTCCGAGAAATTATCGGCTCCCTTCTCTTAAACCTTTCAAGGCCAAACAGCAACTAGAAAGAAACAGAGTTGTCAAAAAGGAAACTTGTTCATGGAGAATGCATTGCTGCCAGCAATAAAACTTAAAACTGAAATTCATAGAAAGAGTATTAAGTACAAAAGAATGGAATTGGGTGGATTTGCAGATTCATAAAAAAGATAAAAGACAGGAAGAAACAAAAAGTGATCGAAGAGATCATAAAACCTTCAACCTAAGCTTATCTGAATTTGGAGCTGAAATTCGAGGACTTTTACATACCACGACACAGACACACGGGCAAATACCTGTGAAGTGTAAAGCCAAATTGATGTATGTTAGCGTTTAGGAGATACACAAGGTCCTTTTGCACTTCTCCCTGGTTATTTGTCAGCAAAAATCATTGTAGCTGAAAACTTGCATATGCGATTCTCAAAAATTTATTTAGTAACATTTTACAATCATGTTTTCAGAAATTAAAGGCATCCATTTAACGTAATGCAATTGTCCACAACCCTCATTTTAAAAAGGGGGAAAAAAAAGAGACTAAAACTTCATTAGAAGCTGCAGATACGTAAAAGAAAATACAGTAAGAATTAAGAAGAAGAAGAAAAGAGAGTCAGACCCTTGTGAGATGGATTCCATGAAGAAGGAGATACAAGTGGCAAGTGGTGAAGCATATTCATTATTCTATCAGCTTGGGATTTAACAGTTGGCTTTGCCTCCTTACAGCCAAAAAATAAGTTGATGATGCTGTAATCCAGTCAGTGGCTAAGCTTATAGAAACGGAAAAAAAAAAGATGCAGCTGAGTGAATCACTTCTTCAATCACATGGTGAGCAATTTACAGAAACCAGACATCAACATAACCCAGACAAATTAAAGTGAGATACTAATTGAACTTGGAGATGATTAACAACTAAGTTTCACATGTTGTTGTCGTGGTTGACAGGAGTTGAAATTTATGAAAGCTTTCGTCAACTGCTACTAAGCTGCTAAAGTATTACTACTCCATGTACTCACCCAGTCTGGCTCAATTCCAAGACAAACCGAGCTCAGCTCACAACAAATCTCTCTCTCTCTCTCTCTATCTCTTTGATCTGAAAGAAAAAAACCTAAAGCCCAGATAAAGTTGCAAATCAAGAAACAAAATGGTTCTAAGCTCAGCAAGGAAGGAACAAGCTACAAAACACTGAAAAGCCAAAAAATAAAAACAAAAGGCTGGCCAATCTACTTTTTTTTGAGCAAATTTGTCTCGTTCTTCTTCCTTCCGTTAGAAATGGCAACTATTCGCCTTTTCATTCTGCAATTATCTACTTACTACCACAATTTATTCCCCTACTGTTTTGCATCTTTAGATGTAGAAGACAGGTGAATATACCAGGAAAGGTTCACACCTGGTGTTAGCAAGAAAAAAACCCTTAAAGCTTAGCTGCGTGAGGATATATGGTAATGGATGGAAGGAGCAAAATGGAAGACACAAAGAGTGGCAGAGAACATTCCCAAGTATTAAGTTGAGGAGATCAGATAGATATTTTCTTCATGTTTCCCATACGTAAATGCAGCACCCTTTCATTAAGAAAGAACCCAAATTGCACTGTGAAATATGGAGAAGAGAAGTAGCAACAAGGAGAAGATGAAGCGAAGACGAAGGGGAGAGAAACTACAAATGTGAGACCAAGCCGAATATGTTTTGATACAAAGATGTGCAGCAGTAGAAACAAAGGTTTTGATAAAAGAGGACTCGAAAGCAGCGGTGAAAGAGAAAGAGTAGGAGCTTGTATCCCACATCGGTAAACGAGAAGCAAATGTTGAGAGCTGCAGCTATAAAATACAATTCAAGCAACGTGTCATAGCATACCTTTCTCGGCCTTTTGGCTAAGATCAAGTGTAGTATCTGTTCTTATCAGTTTAATATCTGATATGTGGACCAATGGTTCACACGATATTAAATTACTTTTTGAAAGGGGAGGATCCATCACAGTAGCTTGCTACTGGGATTCTTGAGCGTCGCCCATGCGTTGCACTACTGCAAGGGCCTGGCGCACCCTCCGATACAAGTTCAAACTTTCTGTGCTCAGCTATTGTGTTGTCGGAGAGCAGTGCTGTGCCTGATTTCTTTACAAATCATAGTTATCGTATTCTGATTACGGTTGGTATGTTGTTGGATCATGGGAACGATTCTTCTCATAATAAAAGGGGCTTCACCTCTTCATAGAGCTGTGGTTAGAGTTTTCTGAAGGTGAGCCCCTTGTACTCTCAACTAAGACAATAGAGTGTAGACCAGTCGATTTCTTTGATTTCATGCCCAACTTCAAAAATGTCTCCAGCAGAATATCCTTTGTATTTGCTCTTTCCCTGTCTGCAAATCTTTTGAAATATCGAATATACACCAAGCACATCAGAAATGTGAAGACCTGCTTTTAGAACTAGCTGTCTTTTTAACTGGAGAATTTGATGGTATCTCTCCATCCAATTCTGCTCTGCATCTTCTTCTTGATTAGTCTCCTATAATAGTAAGAGAAATAAGAGAAGGAGCAAGCCCCAACATCTCTAATTTGAAAGGGAAGCAGGCAACATGTAAGAGAGTTAAATAGACTGTGCCAACACTTCCACACCCTTCTAAGAAATTTAGGATGGAAAACCTTGTAACGCTGATTCAGAAACCAAACCAAGAAGCAGAAGTCACCATTAGCACACTAAATAAATGCTCAATACATCACGAGGCTTGCAATCAGCCTTCAACTAATAGTTACAGCATTCTTTGTCATGAAAAGGTTCTCACATTCAGATGAAGGCTCATTGCAATCAAAATGATGGTCTGAGCATTTAATTAGTGTGCTAAAGATGGTTTTTCCCTCTGCGCTTGTCTTCTTATTCGGCATTGACTTCATATGATATGCTTGGGAAGAAAAAGAGTTGGCAGAGCCTTCTAAAATTCTTGGAAGACACAAACTCAGGGATCTTCCGCAGATCCAGAGCTGAATTTTAACAACTAAGAAACAATGAGCACTTGGATTTACGTCGTCAAGATTAATTTCTACTGCCATTCTTCTACTAAACTTTAACCCTTTCAAGATTATCTGTGAAGAATGAAGCCAAAAAAAAAAGGGACCAAATATTTGTTTCAAATAATAGCAATTATGCTGATTATTGCTGACAATCTAAATTCTGAGTTGTGATTTATTATGATTTAAATGCTCAGTAAACACAATAAAAAAGTAGCAGTAAAAAATTGGTTTTTTCATGCTTATTAATCCGTGAGGACCTTTTGAATCACACGAATCATTTTCGTCAGGTCCACACATGACACATGGGCATGAAATATTGAGAAAAGAAGAAGTATCGACAAGGAGAAGATGAAGTGAAGAGGAAGGAGAGAGAAACAAGAAATGTGAGACATATTTATGACAATCAAATGGTAGATGAAATAAAATAATATTCCAAGCTTTATATGACAATCAAATGTGGTCTCTATTGAGTTGTGAATAACCCAAACAATCACCCATTAAGAGGGCGTGCCATTACCCACTGACACTTTTATTTGAACTACGCTAACCTTGGATAAGGTCATATAGGTCTGTCAACAAAACGGACTTTAATAGAATCATAGTAAATCTTAATCTAATTAATTTAATGAAACGATTAAGATTGAATTTTATAAATTTAGATCAAATTTAAAAATGTGAAATTAGATCTTAAACTTAATGGACTTGGATTGAATTCGAAAGCCTATTGAATTTATTATTTGATTTTTATAAAAAGTTTATAATTATTATACTTTATATATTGTTTGAATATAAAATAAATTTCAATCACTAGATGTATAATAAAATATTTTAAAATAATATTTTATTTATTAATTTTGTAAAAAAAATCAAATACTACACAATTCAAAAATAAAAAATCAAATAATCTTAATAAAAGTTTGTCTTGAAGTAAGTAGAAAGTATAATAAAATTAAAAGAAATAAATAATAAATAATCTTTATTTTTTGTCCGTGTGGCAGTAAAAATAGAGTGATGATAAATATAATAACATCTTATCTTGAAAATATATATAAGTAAATTTGTAATTTTTTTTTTACGAAATTGAAGTAAGAAAATGATAAGAAATTTATATGTGATTTTTTTAAAATACAATAATCATTAGCGAAGGATATGCATTATTTGAATTTTATAATAAATAAATTATAAATTATAACATAGTTTTATATTTATATTTTTATTATTTTAAAAAAATATTATATTTATTATAAAAATAAATTATTTTAATTTCAGATCATATTATTATCGGATCGAATCAAAATAGATCCGAATTTAATCTATTTAATAAACAAGTTAACAGATTTAAATTATAATCAGACTCGAATTTAAAAAAATTATTTATTATATCTATTCAATTATGGTCAAATTCAAATTAAGATTCCATCTTTTTACAATGTTATATATTCACACTGTCGGTGTCCTGATCTGTATCCAATGAATGGTAATGTTTTAGCCAGTCACTTGGGTCGATGGTCTCTGGTCAGTCACATCTCTCGAGTACTTTCGATATGGGAAACTTCGCTTCCAGGTACCTCTGCGTATTTTTCAAGTCAATGTTTTTCACTAAGCCAAAAAAAAAAAAAAAAAAAAACACGATCCTCTTCCAGTTGATCAGCTCATGATAGTTTCTATTTTGTAGTAGTTGGTTTTTCTTATCCACAGACGCTCTAAGGTTTAGGATTTACAATGTTTTTTAACCCATTTTTTATTTTGTGGAACTGCAATTCTATTTTTCAATATAATATATGAATTTTTATGATCTATGGATAATTTGTATAGTCTTTATGTATGTATTTAGATTCTATTTTGATGGTTTTATAATTCAAAAACGAATATATAGTTCATTGTCAAATTAATCAAGTACCTCAAATATCACATTATCACAATCAGAAAAAATAATTACATTATTGATCATCCTTAAACATCATATAATCACAATCATAAAAAAAGATCACATCTATTATGAATCAATCTAATAAAATAAAAATTAATATAAAGTAAAGAAAAAATTTAAGAATTCATTATCAAAATCAAGAAATCAGACTTAGGTTGTTACCTGAAGACAATTTTTTTAAACGTATTATTACTAAAAAAATAAAGAAAAACATAATTTTATTATTCATTTTCACTATTTGAAACATTATTCAGACACTTACAAATCATTATACATTTCACTATTTATATCATTTTTTTAGCACTTTGGAGTTTGATCCTTAATTTTCTTTTATATATTTTTTTTAATTTCAAACTTTGATTGTATTGTAATATGATCTCATTTTGTTTTAATATTTTGTTTTAATTATTTTTATTATTTAAAATTGACTGCTTTAATTTATCATTTTTTAATATAGTAATATGTTATTAATATTATGATCATATTATAATAATATTATTTTTCTACACTAAGCATTTACTATTTAATTATTTATTTTTAAATTAAATAATTAAAGTAATATTTTGGATTAATCACTCAATGATTCAAATTAATATATATTTTTATTTTAATATTATTCATTCTTTTGCAAATAATTATATAAAAATTAAATTTATATTTTTTTCAAAAATCGATATTCTCATCAACATTAAATAAAAAAAATTATTTGTTCAATTCTATATAAGTTTTAATTATTGTTATTTATGTTTTTTGACACAATTTTTATGAAATACTAAAGTTTTTTTTTAAAAAATTATTTAATTTTTTTTAGTTAACAATCCATGATTAACAAGGATAAATCTTTTTTCTAAAGAAAAAATTATGAAAAACATAAATAAGAAATAGTTAAATACAAAATTGTTGATTAATTTTTTTTAATCTTTGATTTCATATAATTTTTTATAGATTCACATCATAAAATAGATTTATCAAACTCAAGTGATTTTTTTAAACGATTTTATATATTTTATGCTGCGGGTAAAAAAACCATCCTGCTATTTATCATTGAATTCTATATATTTCTGTTTGTTTTTGGTTATCACCACAAGTTTGCCGCCATGGCTTTAATACAATTCATAACTGAAACGAGCATAAGAAAATAATAATTGAGTTTCTTGAGAAGAAAATATTGCATTTTCCATCTATTTTTCTTTCGCAGATTCTTTTCGTATTGGGTGATGCTAATACCCTACTGTAGAACTGGCGGTTAAATTTAACAAAAACATTAGATACATATTAAAAGTTAAAACAAAAAAAAAGAAATAAAGAGTACAGTTAAAAACCAATAATAAAATACAGAACAGACATTAAGCAAAGATGAACAGAATGACATCGGGAATGTTGGTTAAGAATAAAAAAAGACAAAAGAAAGAAAAGAAAAGCAAAAGGAAGACCCGAAACGACATCACATCAAGAAAAGCAGAAGCCCGTGACAGTGGCTTTCGATTTAGAATCTTACATGGATTCACTAGATCGCTCTCTTTGATAAAACTGTCGCCACCAGGTTTCGGATGCTTATGTTCTCTTCAACAGAACATGAAGAACCTGGGATTTGTTTTTTCTCCAAAATGTACTACAACTATACATGTGCTTCTATGTGCATGTTTTGTATGCGTACAGGGATTTGACTCTTTCCTACAGCTCCCACAATCCGGGTCAGCAAGAATCCGTCGCAGTTCCAAAAGGGTCCTTTTTGTTGGTGATTTTGGTGCTAAAGGAGATGGTCTTAGTAATGATACTCAGGTCTGTCATCATTTTGAGCTTATTATACACTTTCCTTATATATACTGTGTTTTTTTAATGTTTTATTTTATTTTTTTAAATCTTCTTTTGTGAGACACGATTGGATTATTCTACTTGAATGTAAATCATTCGACGTGATTAGTCATTCTTGTCAACGTGGTGTTACATGTTGAATGCATGATTTTATTTAAATTTTTCTTGGCTCTGTGCCTCTGTAGGGTATCGAGTGACATTCTGAGCAAATTAGCATTCATAATATTTTGGACAATTTTGGGTAATTTTATGTGCAGGAATACTATGTCTAATTGAAGGATTCCCATATCTTTTCTTTTTGTTGGAATGTATGATTAGTTGACAAATTTCGTGATCATGTGAGCTTGTTTGGACAACAAAACTTTAATGACTATTAACATCATACTTCTGGAGCACAACTAGTTTTCTTTTCAAGGAAAATTTGAACTTGTAATTAGTTTCAGGTTGTAGATTTCGATTTCAATGTTTGGGGTGGGCTACATTTCTTCCTGCTTTGTTGGAATGTAAAGAAAATGAGTGTTGTAAGACATTTCGAACCACCCTTTAATCAAAATAATATTTTCATCTTTGTGCATGTGATTGGTTACTCAGCCAATTTTGGATAACAAATGAAAGTCAGTCATTTCAATTTTAATGGTTAAACAATTGTTGTTTTGAAAACTGAACAATTTCTTGTTTTCTCTGTCTTGGTAAAGAGTTTTGAATCTTGCTTGTTGAGATGCAACAAACTGCATAATACCAAGCAGCCAATTAGGTTCTTTTCATGCAAAAAATCAGATCTTTTTAAGAGTGTTTGGACTTTAAATGCCCAACTAATTGTTTTAACCATGTGCAAAGTCATTGTAAAGAAAAACTTCTCTTGATATGGTATTATTTCTTGGCTTACAGGCTTTCAAAGAAGCTTGGGAGAGGGCTTGTTCTTTCCAGGTTCGAACTAGGATTGTAATTCCGGCTGGATACAATTTTCTGGTCCATCCGGTTGATTTTGGAGGGCCTTGTAAATCAAAGGTCACTCTTGATGTAAGCATAATAAGTAACCGTTTTGTTATCATTTGCATCTTTTCTTCCTCTATGTGATTATAGCTTCCCTATCAGTTACTTCATTGGAATTGTGATTTAATAGATCTCTGGTACTATTGTTGCTCCTGAAGACCCTGCTGCTTGGAAAGGTTTAAATCATCGTAAGTGGGTCTATTTCCATGGGGTAAAGCACCTTACACTAGAAGGGGGAGGAACTGTCAATGGTATGGGATGGTTATGGTGGGCTCAGTCTTGCAAGATCAACAAAACCAACGTATTTCTGTGACTCATACCTAAATCTTTCTCCTAAAGTTTCCTTATTGATGCATTTTTCTAACTATAGCTTCAATTGTTTACAACAGCCATGCCGAAATGCTCCAACGGTTAGTGCTGCTTTATTCTTGGAGCCATGCAGTTAGTTCCACTAATTTGCTTGTTTCTGTTCTATCTGTCTTCCTATTTTTCCCTCAAGAACATTGTTTTCCTTTCATGATTTAAATGCTTTAATCTAGTGTAACAATTGTGCTGCAGGCCATTACTTTCCACAAGTGCAAGGATTTGAAAGTCAAGAATCTTAGGGTGGTCTATGGCCAAAAGATGCACATAGCATTCACTAATTGTCTCAGGGTTATGGCTTTCCATCTTATAGTGACATCACCTGCTATTAGCCCCAACACTGATGGAATCCACATCAGTGCATCCCGTGGAGTAGAGATCAAGGATAGTGTTGTTAGAACAGGTTGGCAATTCTGGAAACTGTCTGATAGCTTTTATTATTATCGTGACTAAAATGTGTATTTCCTTTCTGTCTATGTTTGCTTCATAAGTTTGTAACTTTTTGATGCATGTGGATGTTTTCTTATAAATATAATTTGATAATGTTATTTGTAGCTGCAAAACAAAGAGTGCATTTCAATAATTTTGCTTATGACATGCCATGCAGGAATTTTCATTTATCAACAGATATTTTTATTCCATTTGAGTTCATTTCAACAATTCTTTTAGTTGCTTTGATATCTGCACTTGGAAATCACGTGTCTTTCATTTGGGTTTAATGATGATAGTTTAATCAGGTTCTGTTGAGAATGACATAAAAATACCTGCTGTAACACTATTTCATGTCTGTTTCATTCTTTGATTGTCGTGTGTGATGACGTCTCTGTCATAATATTTTTTTAATTCCTTATTAATATCAGCTTCTTGATTGATATATTCCTTGTAGCTCGTAAAACACACAAGTACATGATATTTCTGTGGTTAGGCTTAGCACAAGTGTTTAGGCTTATGATGATACAAGAAGGTTCTGGGTTAAAGTTTTGCCCTTGAATAGCTTGTTAGTTTTTTATTCTTGTGGGTTACTACGCATGGGGCCTCTTTCGGAAAAACAAGGTGGGCGCCTGTCAACCCAAGGGCTGGGGTGACCTGGTGCGGCCAGTTCCAAGCAGTGGAGATAACCCCTGCTGCTTGTTAAGGTAATAAAAGAAAAACGAAAGGTCAGTTGTCTGTGACAGTAGACGAAGGCAGTTAGCCATTACCGTGAAAGGACCAAACTGTACATGCTCCTGGCAGACATACAGTGTTCCATATATCCATTATATTTTTTTCCATAAGATGCTGCCCTGTAAAGTATAACACAGCATGTTTAATTGAAGATAGCTTGGAGAAAGAATTTTGAATTGGGTTTTCTTGAAGCTAAAGTTTTCTAATTAACTCAAACGGAGATGGTTAGCTAGAGTACAACCTATTAAGTCGTGGTTTTAGGAATGAAATTTTTTTCTTTTCCTGATGTTCACAAAAATATCTTGAGATATAGGACCAGAATGATATTTGTTTGTACAAAGAATGATTGGGAGACATAGGCTATTGGGCAACGGAGGCCTAAACCTGAATTTTTAATGAATATGCCAAGAAAACTATCAGTGAATACAAGATATAGGTGGCTGATGTCAATTGCAGTCTTTTATACTGATGAGTTAGCTTGGATTGGAGTTTGCCACCAACATATCACTTCATTATGTGCAAATTTAAATTGAGCATCATATGTGTGTTCTTATTATAATTCCTTATTCAATCAGTGGCAAGTTTCATGCATTGAAATTCAAATTCAGTTGATGGTATATAAGAGCTATACATTGTATCAAAAACATCAGTTGCTTTGCAATTAACCATAGATATATTGATACTTGACATATTTGGGTCCTTGAAATAAATGGCATATTTAAAAAAATAAAAAATAGAAAAGAGATGAGAAGTATCTACTTTTTACTTTAGTTGCTGATAAGGTGGAAGAGAACAACATGATGATCCCTTTTCCGATTCCATGGGTTTCAAATGAAGCTTGTGAACTTGTAGCATGCTGTTTCTGATATTTGCTCAATCTTAACAAGTATACTAAGCTTGAGGCTTCCCACTTGCATTTTTGACTTATACTTTGAGTGGAATTGTTAGGAGACGACTGCATCTCTATAGTGAGCAACTCTTCACGGATCAAAATCAGAAACATTGTCTGTGGGCCAGGCCATGGTATAAGGTAATAACAAAGTCTACACTGTCTAGCTGCAGAATCATGTATATCCTAAGTTCTTAGCCTTGTCTTGTTTGTATTCATTAGCATTGGGAGCTTGGGGAAATTGAACTCGTCATCCTCAGTGCGGGATGTAATGGTTGATGGAGCTTTCCTGTCTAACACTGATAATGGGGTGCGGATAAAAACATGGCAGGTAAATTGCCCTCTCTCTTGCTCTACCACATGCGTGAGTGCACACACACAAATATTTGAATTGATAGATACATGTTTTAGTTAAGTGATTTCATCGCAATTAATTGAATCATGACCTCTTTGAACTTCACCAGGGAGGTAGTGGTAATGCCACAAATATTACATTCCAGAACGTATTGATGGAAAATGTATCAAATCCAATTATAATAAATCAATATTATTGCGATGCTCAGGTGCCATGTGCAAATCAGGTACGGTACCGACCTTTCTCAAATTTTAGTGTCAATAATATGAAATTGTTGCTGAATTTATAGGCAACAGGCCGCACTTTTTATTAATCATATTATAGCTGTAACTGCATATAGATTGGGTCAGCACACACATATCACATGACTTATACAATGGTGTAGCATTCAGCAATAAGGGTCATAATATCTTGTTCCTAGTCAGCAACCACAAATATGAATCTGTCTTAGTGGATTGCCCCTGAAACAAGTGTTGGGCAACTACTGCTGCATGATTCTTTTTGACTAGTCTATAGTTCGAATGCATTTCTTGTGTTGTAAGAGATTATATGACTTATTAACGCTGTGGAATGCAGACTTCAGCTGTTAGAGTGGAGAATATATCCTTTAAGCGTATCAAAGGAACTTCAGCAACTGAGGAAGCTATAAAATTTGTTTGCAGTAATGAGTTACCCTGTAAAGGACTATACTTAGAAGATGTTCAGCTTCTGTCACACACGGGAGGGACGACAAGGTCTTTTTGCTGGCAAGCTTATGGTTCAAGTCGGGGTCTAGTGCACCCTTCTCCTTGCTTCTCGCGTAGCGAAAGCTTCATCAAGGAGAGAGTCCCATCTCACTTCCTTCAGTCTTTTTGAAAACAAGCTGTACAGTTTAAATTGATGTATAAAAAGCTAAACCAAAAGAGGATTATCGTCCACGGTTTTATCGGATTATTTGTATGATTGTGTAAATTATTCCTTTAGTTTTGAAAATATAAGTTAATCTCTTGATCAAAATTGACTGCTCATCGTACCTAAATTATCTTTTTTTTCATATGTAATTTTTTATTTTGTTTGTAGTAGGTGAGTTTGAAAATTTTGACTAGAAATAAAAGATATTTTAAGAAAAATAAAAAATAAAAATGCAACGAAAGGATTAAGTTATAAAAAATACCAGGATTCAATATTGCGTTTTTTAAACCATATGGATCAATTAATTATTTCACTAAAAAACACGGCAATTAAATAATAACTTGCTGTTGTAATTTTGTTGGAGTGATTGCGTTCTTTGGGCTCTGACCTGCTAGTTAAATCGGCCATTTTTCTCTCAAGGACAGAGGAATTCTTTGATCACAGAACTTTCGATCCTTTGAATGGGCTTCAGCGCAAAAGCACTAGAAAGCACAAGCATATAGACATTTGTGTGTGTATGATTGTATCTGCCAAAAATAAGCACCCATATAATCACAGGCTTTGAAAAATAATGAATGTTATTTCACATTCTATATATTGAATTGTTGTTGCATACTCGGTAGTGATGATGATCACAGCATAGGATCCAGAAAAAAAAATAATAATAATAACGCTCAATTTTGATCATAAGATATAAAAAAAATTATCTAAATTTTAATAATTGAAGATTCAAATAGTCCAAATTGACGGTATGAATCTTATTTTATTACAATCTTCATAATTTAATGGTAAATGATGTCATTAAACCCATTTTTTTGCTGCTATTGTTCAATGGATACATCATAAACTTCATTATGGGAAACATTTTATGTGAATCAATAGTAGAGTTCTGAAGACGAGTTCGTTTTGAGTACTTCAAAATGAATAGCTAGCAATTTCACCAAAAAAAGGAAAAAAAAAAAACCAAGTTAGAAACAAATAAATGCACTACTTAAGAAGAAAGCCAGAACAACCTACTGCGTCATTGAGAAAATGATAGACCATAGAGAAAAAATGGAATCAAAATTTGATTACGTTATTCTTCCCAAGTTCTTTATGGATGTGATGGTTTCTCTAAATTTTGGGTTGCAAATGTATAGCATTTTTGTCACTACTATAAAACGGAAACATGCTAAAATACAATAATCGAGCCACTTTTAAGCTATCAGCAGTGGCAACATCTGGACGCTACAGAATCTCCATTTCAGCTATGAAAGAAAAAAATGTATTACTTTCAGCTGAAACAACATGCCAAATAGTAGAAACCATTTGGAACATGCTGGACGTATGAATAATCAAAATTTTCTTAGTAGTCTTCCAAAAGAACAAAAAACAGGAAAAGAGTGACTAGAAAGCTATGATTCGAACAGAATCAAACTGATCGAGAAGCATCCATTGATTGATCTCACCATGTCCCATAAACTGGACTTTAATCTGAACGTTAACTTCTAGCGTCAGCTAGCGAGAACCAAGCTTTGGGCAGCCCTCAGCAAGAGGCAAGTCCAAATTTTCCACAGTTCTGAATGTTCTTGGGACCATCTTGTCAACATAAAGAGTTCCTTCCAAATGATCACATTCATGCTGTAGGATGCGAGCTTGCCAACCAGAAGCATCCACTTTGATAAGCTGGCCATCGCGACTCAAACCTGTAACCTCAACATCAAGATTGCGCTCCACAATTGCTCTGAATCCATCAACGCTACAAAAGTCCCATACCAAAGGAAAAGAAATAAGATTACCAACAAGGGAAGTTATGGTATTTTGTTAGCACCATGGACATGGTTGTAACTGACTTTCAGGCAATGTATGGCTGTTCATCAATTTAAAATTTTTGGCAATCTATACAATTATCTTTCACTGTCAATGAAACATCTAAGCTAGAGAAATTGACCCTTTTTTTTCTCCTCACGGAAACCAATAGCACCTAAATGGTATCTTGGTGAAAAGATAAAAAAAACAGTGGTAGTCACGTAGTTGTAGAACAATACGTGACAACTTTAAACGACCATTGATTCTTCTACAAATAACATAAGGATCTATACATAATCCAACATCAACCATATTTTGGTAGCAGTTCAATGGCAATATAGTGCAAGTGTTTGCTAGCATGCAAAATGCAAAATATCGTTGCGCTGCAAATGGCAGAACACATTTAATTCATCTTTTCACCAAACTGCTAGCAAACAGAAATCAACTAGGGCAGACCTCTCACAGCTCATGAACATTTGACTTGGCGAACTTATTTTAAATGTTGTAACGAAATCAACTCCAGCAGGATGAAATCTCTTAGTGTGAAGAATGTTACCACCCTCCCTCCTCCCTCCCTCCCTCCCTCCCTCCCTCCTATGTTATGGATAAATTTCTGCCTATAACATCATCCACAACAAATGTTGTGGATCAATTCGGATTAATCCAGAACATCGATTTTATTGCCAAATGTCATATTTTTTTGTTAAAGCACAGAAAGAAAATCCCCATGTTGGTGATATGACTAAAATTTCTGCCTATATCATCATCCACAACAAATGTTGTGGATCAATTCGAATTAATCCATAAAATCGATTTTATTGCCAAATGTCATATTTTTTTGTTGAAGCACAGAAAGAGAATCCTCATGTTGGTGATATGACTACCATATAATACATAGCATCGATTTTATTGCCAAATGTCATATTTTTTTTTGTTGAAGCACAGAAAGAAAACCCTCAGGTAGGTGATATGACTACCATATAATATCATCTGGTAAATATATCCCATCTGATTTAGAAGAATTGTTTTGTATTTTTGGATAGACTGCAGCAACTAGCTTATGGACTAGAGAACAGAATTCTATTATTATTTTTTTGATAAATGAGTTTCATTTTAGTTGTTATTTATTTAAATGGATGCATTTTGAATATACTAGAATTTTGATATTACACTATCCTTCTAGATGTTAGTTGCTCATAATGTGTTTTCTTTACACTATGTAAATATATAGGCATATTGACTTCTTGATAAGAAACACTATTGTAGTGTTATTTAGATATCTGTTTAAATTAATAATAATGAGCTGTTTTGATTTAATTATACAAGTTTTTGTCGTGATAATTTTTTTTTGGATATTAGTGGCTTTACGATTTTCGCTAGTGATTTTCTTCAACAAATATAGCGTGTTTATTCTCGACCATTCTATCATAATCGCTTGGATTTCATCAAGCAATCCAAATTGTCTCGGAGTCAAATGTGGCTAATGGTATAAGCAGAAATTTATCCATAACATTGGCTTTATTGCCAATGTCATGTTCTTTTGTTGCCTTATACTCAACGGAAAAAAATCATCGGGTAAGTTTTGATATGGCAGCCATATAATATCATCATGCATATAATATTCATTGCAAAAAAAAAAAAACATAAACATTGCTATATTTATAAAATGCAAGGCAATAAAATTGAACTCTTAAAAGACTTACAGCATTTAAATTTGCTAGAACATTTACCATAGCTTGTACTTTGAGAGTATGATGGACATTTTTGCTAAGCCGGGATATGTTCTCACACTAATCCACCATGAAAGGGAAGGTTGGTGGCGATTTAGGAAGATTCATCAAATCGACAACTTCTTAATATAGTTAAAAGCGAATAGCTGCAAAAAGAAAAAAAAATGTTACAACAAACAAATTAGTTACGAATACTAAAAGTGAAAATCACTTACAGTAATGCAAAACCAGCTAAGCTTTTACCCTTCGCGCCTTTAAGCCCTTGTGCAACACCACCAGCATTGCCTCATCCCACGCAAAATCTTTAATTTCATTATTTTTTTCTACTAAAGGATTGACATAACCACCGGTAGAATCGGCATTATAACCGAGCCTATGAGGAACAAGGACACGGCTCGCACTCTATGCTCTAAAATGACTCCTTCATCCCGAGCCATATTCTTTAAAACACTCAATTTTAAGCCTTTTCAATAAATATACAAGTCATTTGCTCTACCAAAACATCTTGTACAGACTTGTTCTCCATCCACTTCAACACCCACAATAGGTTTACCAATAATTAGTGGACCGATAATATATAAGGCATCAAGTAATAGATAAGTCTACACTACCATCACTATCTACTCTAAAACAAAAACTATGTTCATCAAAACATCTAACTAAAAGTTAAACCAAGCCATAAAAATAATTGAAATGAAACATTTTAACTATTTTTATGGCTTGGTTTAACCTTTAGTTAGATGTTTTAATGAAAATAATTTTTGTTTTAGAGTAGATAGTGATGGTAATATAGACTTGTCTATTACTTTACTTGATGTCTTATATATTACCGGTCCACTAATTGTTGATAGACTCGTTATGGGTGTTGAAGTGGATAGGGAATAAGTTTGTACAAGATGTTTTGGTAAGACAAATGATTTGTATATTTATGAAAAAGGCTTAAAATTGAATGTTTTAAAGAATATGGCTCGTGATGAAGGAGCCATTTTAAAACATAGAGTGCGAGCTATGACCTTGTTCCTCATAGGCTCGCTTATAATGCCGCATTCTACCGGTGGTTATGTCAATCCTTTTATTGCCCCCTAGTAGAAAACATTAATGAAATTAAAGATTTTGCACGGAGTGAGGCAATGCTAGTGGTGTTGCACAAGGGCTTAAAGGCGCACAAACGAAGGATAAAGGCTTAGCTGGTTCTCGCATTACCGTTAACTATAAGTGATTTTTTAATTTTCACTTCTAGTATTCATAACTAATTTGTTTGTTGTAACATTTTTTTTCCTTTTTGCAACTATTCGTCTTGAACTATATTAAGAAGCAACAAGATTTGATGAATCTCCCTAAATCGCCACCAACCTTCCCTCTTATGGTGGATTGGTGTGAGGACATAGCCCGACTTAGCAAAAATGTCCATCATACTCCCAAAGTACAAACTATGGTAAATGTTCTAGCAAATTTAAATACTATAGGTTTTTTAAAAGTTCAATTTTATTGCCTTGCATTTTATAAACATAGCAATGTTTATGTTGCATTTTTTTTTTGCAATGAATGTTGTGTGCGGGATGATATTATATGGCTACCATATCAAAACTTACTTGAGGATTTTCTTCCGGTAAGTATAAGGCAACAAAAGAACATGACATTGACAATAAAGCCAATGTTATGGATAAATTTCTGCTCGTACCATCCGCCACATTTGGCTCCGAGACAATTAGGATTGCTTGATGAAATCCAAGCGACCATGAGAGATTGGCCGAGAATAAACATGCTATATTTGTGAATTTTGAACACTTGCTCACTTACAAATATATATATACATATATGTATATGTACATGTATATATATACATATTTAATATTCATGTAGATATACATATACATACATACACACACACACACACACACACACACATATATATATATATATATATATATGGGAGGGAGGGAGAGGTATAATATGTAAATTTGTAATCCATCTCACTTCTTATGGTGCCTTAGCTGGCATACTATGTCATACATTTTGAAACTAACTTGAACAGCCTGATTATGCAATCAGACTCAACTTCTGTAAGATTTGCCCAGATATAAATGCATTGAAAACAGAACAAAAAGGAAAGGGAAAAGAAAAGCAAGAACTAAAGCACTCTGAAAATACAGAGCTTTCCGAAGAATGAGCATTTAACATTGTGTGAATCAGAGTGTTTCAAAGATACATGTCCAAATGATCTGATTTCAGCATACAAACAAAACCACGAGCCTAAAATGAGTACGTGTGCATAAGTGTCAACACAATTGCTGTGGTGCTTTCAGGCTCGCACTTTTTTCTTTTTTTTAAGTCCATCATTTAACATTGAAGATTGAGGGCAAAAAGCCATTCCCATGCAAGATTATATACAGATAGTTTAGTGAAATTACTAGCAACATGCTCTATTGCTAAGGGAAGTGGGGAAGTGTAGAAGGTAGGACCAATTGCTTGCTTGTTAACAAGGGATGAAACATCTGCCTCTGGAAAATATTTGCAAGAGGTTTTTAATAAATTTCAGACAACCAATGGGACGTGCAGGGTATTTATGGCATCTCATTTGGAATATAGGTAAAAGAAGGTCAACAGTGAAAAACAAACTATGCAGTAGGAAAACAAATTTCATTACAGACCTTCCATCTTACCTCAGACAGCCCTCAAAAAAGAATGCAGTCCTATTGCTCTTCTTCTTAAGCTTTGGGTTCACGATCACCTGCCTCAAATGAGCTAATAAATTGTAAAAGTAAAGTGAAAATTCTTGGATGCTGTAAATCTAGATATTAATTGGAGTGCTCTCCTTAACCATACAAGCAAACATACCAAAAGATCAAAAGGGCGTCTATCCTGTGCTTTGGTCTCGTCCTTGGGTGCATAACCAATATATTCTGCTGTATCTTCCAAAACTATGATCTGCAGAAATGAAAATGGTGAAACTTTTGTTACATAGATTAGATTTCTGGTGTTAGAATTGCAAGGTGTTTGCAAGAGCCGAAACCCTTTGGATATCTAGCATATCAATTGGTTTGCTAACGTAAGATGCAGCTGTAGTGGGAAAATTATATCCTGAATTCTCAATCACCCGTCATTGATTTTTTCTGTTCCTTTAAATTTCAAAGCAGACTAAGAACTTCAACGTACTTTTCATCACTCAAAATCCATGAAACCCAAAACTTTTCATCTACTTAATTCTACTTCACTCTATCATCATCACCATCTAGCATATTCAAAGTTTTAGTAACTAAATCTTACAACAGGTCAAGATGGAACCCACATTTCCTACACGTTCACAATTTTGTATACCGTCAGTACCATGTAAGGTAAACAGCATTAACAATCACCAAACTTTCTAAAAAAAATAAACAGAGGGAACCAGAAAAACTAACCCTTAAGGGGATTCCAATCTGAGGAGCAGCAAGGCCTACACCAGGAGACATTCTCATAGCCTTAACCATATCATCAATTATCTTCTGTATTCTCTCCGACCGAATTTCCTTCTGGTCAACTTCTCGGGCGGGCTCGTGCAGAACCGGGTCACCGGCTTTAACTATATCAGGCATGCTGGTTTTCTTCTTTTCTCCCAGACCCAGAAGCCAACCCGCTTTGAGAACGGAAGAGGAAGAGAGAGATTTCCGGGTAGTGAAATGGAGATTTGGGCTTATGAATTCGGGTTTTCGAATGGGCCTTCTGATTAAACAAGATATTGGTAAGAAAGTGGAGGGTTTTAAGCAATTTTCAGCGAGAGAAATCGGGAGGAGACGGAAAGAAAATCGGTAGAGAGTCTCCATGTATGTTGGACTCGGACAGCTGGGGAAGAGAAGAGGGTTACAGGAAAAATGAAAATCAAATATATAGATTTTTGTCTGAAAATCCATTGGGCTTGCCTTGGACCAAACATTTATTAGAACCTGAACAGACCCGCTGGGAAGTACATATTAGAAAAACGTTAATAGCCGAGCCCAATTTCTCAAATAACCTAGTGAGTTCGACTCGCTAACTTATTTCTTCTTTTTTTAAATCAATTTGTCTCTTTCTTCTTTTCTTCGCAAGTCGAAATGGCCATGACTCTAAATATTCTGATAAAAAAACCCGACAAAATCTGACCCGATTCTTGCTACTCTCTCACAAAGTCATCTTACCTTTGAACGAACTAGTGACATACTTTGAGGGGAGAGTACTGCTAAACATCCATACTGTGTGGATCGTTCTTGCTTATTGAAATCTCTAGCAATAGTAATATGACGGAATGAAAGACCAAGGCAAGAAAGAAGAATGGGCTTTGAGGGCGAAGGTCCTCTGACAATATCACGTGGTCTAAGCACTGTTGAAGTCTCGAAAGTACAACTTATTCAATGTCATTTGAAGAGTATTATTGAATTAAAGAGAGAGAGAGCATATATAGGGTAAGGACTTCTTTCTTTAGTAAACCAAAAGAGCTAGCAGTGCTAGAAGATCGGATCTGATCTATCAACTCAGCAATTCATTCAATGACTATAGGGTCACTTTATAGTAGACGACGTTAAACGGTGCTAACTCTGGTTTGCTTTACACGGATCTCTCTGCTAATACTTAGCTTCTTCTCCACTGCTCCTATACTCTCACACTGTATAAGACAGATGCATTTTCTGGTATTAGGATAGGGTGTGCCATTATAGTTAATCCTACTTATAATACAAAGCTATCTCCAGTCTCCATCCAAGGATATCTCGTAGCTCCTCCATATGTATGTATTATGTTTGTGAATTAAATATTACAAGTTAGGTTTGGTGAGAATTAAAGTTAGAACCTTTTTCTTGAGTTTACTCTGTGACGGATGTTTATGCTATAAACTCTCACAAAATGAGGAAATGACGAGTTATATAGCTTTATAATTTTTTGTGAGGAAATTCATTGGGCTTGCTTTAGACCAAACATCCATTAGGATATGAACATACCGGTTGGGTTTTAATTAGATTCTCGAAGAAGTCTAATTCAAAAAAAAAAAAAAGTTATTAGATGAGCCCAACTTATCAGATAATTAACCCATCAATCTTAGCAAATCCAACTCACTAATTTGCCTCTTTTTAATAATTTGTCTCTTTTTTCTTTTTCCTGAAATGGTGAAGCCCACGATATGAAAATCTTTGGCATGATAGCGGGGTTTAGTGACTTAGAAATCTTCTCTTACAATGATAGCAAAGTCACAAACCTAAACAATTAAATTTCATTAATTTTTACAATAATAATATTCAGTCATTAAAGTTGATATGATTTTCGTTTTTATTTAGTATATTGTTTCTATTTATCTAAATCACTTAAATGATATCAATTTTAATATAATTATCAATCAATTTAAGTAAATAGAGTATGAAGCGGTAAATACTCCGTCTACCCATATATGGGTATTTTTTAATGTTTTTTTAAAGAGATACCTCTCTCTCTCTATCGTCGTTGAAGGCACCGGGATGGGTGCCACGTATCTGTTGCTGCAATGAATGTCAAGCACCTGCCATGCAGCCCCACCCTTGACCATTCTGTTTCTTCGATAAAACACGTGCGTACAATGAACCTGACAAGCAACAGTTGGCCCATACTTCTAATTTATTATTCTCTCTTCTTCTTCTTCTTTTGGGATGGGCGAATTACTATATCTTCGATCTTCAATCATAATCTTAGACAACATGCAATTTAATATACTTTATAAAACTTGTGGATGTATTATTAGCGTCCGTGTAGTGAAAGCTGTAATGGTCCTCAGTCTCGGCAACAAAAGGCGTCTCTTTTGCCAACTTTCGGCCCAGGCCCTGTTTTTAAGCCGTACGTTTGCTTTGAAAAGTCTTATCCTATCGCATGCGTGTGGGTCATGCAATATACATTAGGCATATATCCTTTTACTAGGTCAACCAATAGGGTTTTAGCCTTCTAGGTTAATTTTGGGGACTCCTCATTTTCCTTACCTTAAAACAGCATAACGTATGTTTAGTAGGATTTTGAAATTTTTCGTTTAAGGTACAGGCCCATGTTGGAAAAACTTAAATTATCTATTCGTTTGTTGTTTTTTGTTTTTGTTCCCTATTAATCACGACTCAAAAGTGATGATATGACAAATTGGCACGAAACGATAGCATAAATATTTCAAAAGCATTCGAAAGGTCCAAAGGCATTTTGGCTTTAATTTCCTACATAAATTTTGCCAGAACCATACGATTTCTTGGAATGGTCAAACAGTTTTTGTGCAAAAACAATATAGAATTTTTGGAAATCACCAAATCAAGTGCTAAGGTGTACAATGAGAGTGATTTAAAATCATTTCTAGATTTCTTAAATAGCCGATTAATTCATGATTGGGTCAGGTTAAATACCGAATATGAAAATAGTGACCTCCTAGAAGCCATGAGACATAAAGAATTTGCACTTTTTACCTTCATGAGTGACAAGTTTCTTACTTTGATCGGCTAATGAAATTTTTTTTCTTATTTTTTTACCAATCCTTTTAACAATAGCTAATTGTTTATAAATTATTTTGAATTATTGCTTGGAAGAAATTTTTTTTAAATTTTTTTGTGTGCAATTAATTTTTTTTAAATTTATTTGAGTATTTTCAAAAGACATAAAAGATATATAAAATATTTAAAACAACTATACATATTTTGAAAATGTTAAATACAAGACACATTTTTTTATTTTAGGAGTTCATATTTTTTTTTACTTGCGTTCAAATTCATTCTAGTCTGAGATTCGTTAACGAAACGAAATAATTTAATTACGTATAAAAAAATAAATATTTGGAGATCCTTGTAAAAAAGGAAAAAAGTTGAGACTTTTTCCGGAGTACTTTATAATTTATTGCCGTTTAACAATTGCACACTTTCTACGCTTCTTATTCTCCTACATATATACACCCACATGAGCATGTAGTGCAGAAAGGAGAATCATATTGGTTTTCAACGGAACAAAGCAGAAGAGAAGCCATGATGAAGAACAACAGGTCCATACCTCCTCAACACAAGGGTTCGACAACTTCTGAAGCAAGAAATGATGTTCATAGTTGCAAAGAGGATAAAGCAGCTGTGAGGTCTCATGTTGTGGAGAATAAAGCAACTCATAATAAGCTAGCGAGCAAACCGTCTCCAGACATAGATGCAAGTGCTGAGGCATTCATCAAGAAATTCAGGACACAACTTATGATCCAGAGGCTTGAATCCATTGAGAATTACGAGCAAATGCTAGCTAGAGGCCTCTAATTTGCCATCGTAATCCTTGAGTAGTATACGCAATGTAATGGTTATGTATGAACTCGTATCGTTTTATTTGTTATAACTTGTTTCCTCTCTTTAGTGATCTCATGTATACGTATGTTTTAGAGAGAGAGCATCTAAAATAAATGCTGAATTGAGCATTAGCCTTCTTCTTTCTTAATGTTTTATGGTTATATCTTGTATAAGGATTGGCTTCTTTTCTTTTGTTTTCTTCTTTGGTGATTCTGGCTATTGATTTGTTATTTTGGACATCTTTTATCTGTGAGAGATGAAGAATCAGTCCGCGAGAATCTTATTAAAAAAGGCAATACCCAATTTTATTAGCTAACTGTTTAAGAACTCTATGACTATACATCCCCGGTTTCAATATTATTGGTACTATGCCTTGGCAAGATGTGGTTCACTGGTTTGTGTTTCAAATTCAATTGCCAAAAAGACAAGGATTATGGAAGGTAAAACGTAACACCACCGGCCAGATTTAATTAATTCCCGTTTAGGTTTTCATCGGTTTTGTGTTTGAGTCATTCTGCATGCATTTTATCTGTACTTTCTTAACTAAATTAGATGAAATTTTAGTTTTCCTTAAGAAAAAATCCTAATTAAATTTTTAATTTTGTTTAGAGATCATTTGCACTTAATAATTAAGCTTAAACCAAAAATTTTGAGGAGCTTGATGTGGGATTACTTTACCTTATTTTAAGAAATGCATAAAAATACTTTATTTAAAGATGATTCCGATAAAGATTTAATTTTGATTAAAGTATGAACTGGTTTCAAAATAACACTATAATTTTAGAAAAGTTAAATGAAATTTATTAGGATACATTTAAAAAATAAAGGAAATAATAATAGCTATAGAATATAATTAAATTCTCAGAGTACAAAATTTAGATAAGTCTTAAATTCAAGAATAGATTCAAAACAGTTTGGAAGTTTTAGGATTGAAAATTTTCTCCAACATATATATATATATTGGGATGACATGGACCCTTGGCCATAACATGGCTCGGCCCATCTCACAAGTTAAAAATATGGAAAAATTGAATACAGTACTTCCTATTTTTTATTGCGCTCTTTCGGGTTACAAAAGTAATAAAAAAAAACATTTGGACACTCGTTAGATTGACCTTTCTTCCATTTTTCAATATATTTTTTTATTTCAAAAACATCATTAATATTCCTCAACAAATGCCATTTGGACACTCCAGCTTAGATAAACCTCCTCTTTCCCATCTAGATGTGATTATTCTGTCCATGCCATGAAGCACCCGAACTAGTTTCTATTTTCATAATGGTTCTCTCTCGTCTTTTCTTTTAATTAAAAAGCTGCTCCTTAAATTTTTATTTTTATTTTTTTAGATTTTTGAGATGGGTTGGACCACACTCCAACATGGGATGCTCCCTGTATCGAGTCGACCCACAACTAGATGGACTTGGGCCAATATCATTGAGTAACGCCCAGACCCAGCCTGACATACCCAATCCAGAAACAATATTGATCCGGTTGGGAACAAGAAAGAAAAATTCCTCAAAACAGAAAATTTGAAATAGATTCTATGCAACAAAATGATCATCTCCGCATTGGATCTCATTCCTGTTGTTTTATTATCATTACAAGAACTAACCAACGAAAAGAAACATTATAAGTTCACGTAACAGAGACCAGAGGTCCAGAAGCTCCATACAATTTTATTGACGAAATTGCACTTAATGCCCCTACTAAATTGCCCTCTCCCGCTGGACCATTGGCTGCATCTGCTGCATCGTTTGAAGGTTCAAGCAAGAGCATGATCGTGCGACTTCGCCGGCCAGAGGGATCACTGGGAGATTATCACAGTTGCAAATCTCAATCATGAATCCATCTGGGTCATGAAAGAACAACTGTTCCACATGAATCCCACCTTCCTCTACTAATGCTCGCACGTGCTGAATTCCCATGTCTTTCAACTTTTTCTCCACTGCTCCCATACTCTCACACTACATACCACAGAAGTGAACTCACTTAAGCATTCGGCATGTATATTTCTTCCTTTTAACATGTTTTAGAGACTCGGTTTTTAAACAGATAAGGGATAAAAACCAAATTGCAAATTGCAAATACTATCTATGCCTAAGTTTGACTAACAAAAAGAGTTGGCAAATACCAAATTGCCTTCGGCTAAGAACAGTAATGGTCCCCTCATTTATAAATAATGGAAGACACTTAAAACTCTATGCACACCAAATATTCTCTTGACTTTATTCATAATAATTGTTGCCTTCTGACTTTACGTAATGCAATTGCACAGGGAAGCACCCTTGTCAAGATCCAATTTATAGCCGTACCATTTGAGAAACGAAAAGAAAGAAAAACTAAAACCAATAATATATTGGCTGTCACGATGACATTACATATGCATGATTAACAAAATTGTGATAGGAATATCGGGAGTGATGAACAAAATAATAATTGAATGGTTAGCATTGCTTCCCATCTTATTTGTTAAAGCTTTTATGTAGGAAATTAATTGATCCCTTCCAAATTCCAAATTCCTAGTTGTTTTGTTCTTTACTTATTGTTTAATTATCTATTTTTTTATTTTGTAGAAAAACCAGCCATCTTGTTTTTGTTAAACGAAAATTTTATAATACAAAATGAGTAACCTATGATATGACACGGTAATTATAATTACATGGATTCATTTTAAAAGAAGAGATAAACACAAAAAAATAAAAGAGAAAATAAAAAAATTAAGCAAACGTTAAATTTTTTTTTATTTATTATGAGTCCAAATGTAATTTTATATGTCTATCTCTCTCCTTCAAATGGATTCATAAAATAACTAATATACATATCATTAGTTACTCCTAAAGTTTTTTAAAAATTTCCCATTTATGTATTATAAATTTTTTCCAAATTAAATTAGCGGTGTCATCATTTTTTGAACCACGCTATCATGTGGGAACCACGTTGTGTCATTATCCACCTGGATTCACTTAAGGCCTCCCCTTAAACACAAGAAACCAAAAACAAATGACACATTTACGTGATAAAAAAAAAAAAAAAACCATAAATAATGAAGGGTCGGGTAGCTTGCAAGATTGACATTTTATAAATTACCTGGAAAGAGATATGATTGTCCTTGGGATTAATTTCACCTTTCTTTGGCATCTTTTCTGGATCTTCTGATTGCAATAGATGAATTCCAATTCCAAAACCAAATAGCCTGTATGAACAATTAAACAAAACGAAAGATCAACAACGTAAAAATAAAAAATAAAATAGTACTTCCTGAAGAAAGTTGCAACGTTTATTGCTCTAGAACAAACAACTCAAGGTGGGCCTTAGTTATTTTCTTGAAATCACTATAGAATCCGCTCGTAAAGTTGCAACGGGCCGAGGGAAAGGTGATTTACGTACCATGCCCCATCAAAGTCAAAAGATCCTGGCCTCCTTACTGGCACAAAACCAAGAATATCTTGGTAGAAATTCATGGATTCCTCAACTGATCTACACAAAAGGGAGATATGATTCAAAGACTTGAGATGAAGCGGGTTTCCCATGTGGTCCTTCATTTTCAAAGGAATCAAACAACCAAAACGTGGGAAAAAAAAGGGTTTAATCAACGAATCAAATAGCGAAGAGAGAGCTCAAGGACAAAGAAAGACTAGTGTTAGAAACACCAGAAAACGCAAAAGGAAAAAAAAAAAGACGACGATGGGGCAAAGTAGTTGAAATAGTCACGGCAACTCCGGTTGTGCAGAGGAATAGAATTTGTGGGTCTCATTTATAGAAAAAACAGAGGATGTGATGATATCTTCATGTGCGCCACGTGTCAATGAAATACGACGTGTTGGATTTGGATGATTCTGACACGTCAGAGTCCACATGCTGAGTAGGCTCCTCACCAACTATATTGGGTCGCGGACACGTACTTTTCCCATTTTAGTTTTCCTTTTAGGTTTGGATAGCACGAAAATCCACCGTCTAGATTCCACATCGCACTCCAATCTCACAAGTCACAAACTCTACTGAATATTTGCGTGCTGTCTGTGTAGCGTAAATTTACAGAAATAATAATATTTAAGGATAATTTTTAGTGACGTGGAATTTAGATTAATTAACATAAAAAATTTTATAATACACAAAAAGTAACTAGTAACATATACAATAGTTACTTCATTGACCTACTTTGAAGAGAGAGATAGACACATTGAATTATACTAGGATACACTAAAAATGATAATAAAATTTTCATATTTTACTCTTCTTTTTTTTAATTTTTCCTTTTTTTTTTTTTGTGTCTATCTCTCTATACATGTCACTAGTTATTCTTTATATATTATAAAATTTCTCAATTAACACACCCATTATTGGATTGACTATTCTCCTTACATAAAGAAATATGAGACCATGAGAATTTTAAGGCAAAGTTAGCGATTAATTGGCGAGACATAATTTTTAATCACATTTATTCTTTTGTCTTAGCAATAACTAGTTTTTTTACCCACTTTATATTACGGATAAAACAGAACACATACAATTATTTTTAAAAAATTATTTTAGTTTTATGTTTCATGTTATGTTATGCATGTATTAAAATAGATCAACTTAAAACTGAATAAAATTTCATTCAATTATATATTTTTTAATTAAATTTTTGTATTTAATTAATTATTCTTTATATTTTTCATCAATTTTCGATCAAAAAAACATTATTTTTTTAATTTCTATCAACAAATTAAAAAATTTATAAATAGTATAAAAAAAGTCAAAATCAATGAATTCTTAGCTAAAAACTTATTTTGTAAATTATTTTTTCTAAACATTTTTTTGCCTTAAAATTTTTATTTAAAAAAAAAGAAAAAAGAAAAGATCGAAATGAAGCAAAAGAGGGACAAAATTAAACAAAAAATAGTTACAAACTAAAAAAATAATATTTTTAAAAAATCAAAGTGTAACATCAAGAAAAATTTTATGATAAATGTTTTTAAAATATTTAAAAATTTATTTTGTAAATTGTTTTTTCTAAAATTTTTTTACCTTAAAATTTTTAATTAAAAAAATGATCAAAATGATCAAAATTAAAAATAGTTACAAACTAAAAAAAATATTTTAAAAATCAAAGTATACAAAAACTTTTATAATAAATGTTTTTAAAATATTTAAAAATTACAAAAATACTATTGTATTGTGAAAAGAATAATATATCCGTGTCTTGATGAATTATGCGAATAAGTGTAGATGGATAATTTCCAAATGATATAGTAAATAATGATCGGTCATTTTAATTTAGTTTTTTTTTATAATTACTAGAAGTTTTTTAACATCCAACATTATATGAAAAAGGCATATTTATCCTGATCGAAGCTCTTCTGAGAGTTGAAAGGATACATTTTCTATGTATGAATTGAAATAACATTAGTAAAAGTTGTTTTTGATGAATGAATATGACATTAAAAAAAAAAAAAAACTTAAAAAATTAATAATGTAACAGAATCTGTAATTAATTGTATCGTGATTTGATTTTCTTTTTAAAACGTAATGTGTTTGGTTTTCAAAATAAAATAGATCTTAACTAAATATTGTTTATAGAACAAAATCTGTTAAAATAATCTTTCTTTAAACAGGAATCAAACACATGCAACCAAACTAAATCGTGTCCTCCATTCTCTAATAAAAGTAAGGTATACAAGTTTTTTTTATCATGGGACCCTTTTTTTTTATGTGAAAATGGGTGTACAACATCGTATCATCATTGACATTGGTAAGCAACACGTGTTATGCTTCTTAAATCTCAACATCTCCTAGGTTTTTTATTTATTTATTTTTATTTTTATTAAGAGAGTAGGAGACGAGGAGGAAAAAACTCGGGTACTTTAGGGACTAAGAGTAATTATTATTCAATTCAATACCAGCTTAAATTTAGCCATGCCAATAAATTGATAATTATACCAAAGTTAAAATAATTTAAATGATTTACAAAAATAGAAAAATAACCAGCTAATAGGTCGTTATTATGGTCCACTCTCATTTTTTTTCCAATTTATTCAATAAACCTTTTTTTTAATTTGAATGAAAAATAATTTCAACAAAAAGATTATATTTATTCGATGAGTTTGTAATCTAATTGACATCAAAATTCTTCCATCTTTAAAAGATCTAAAGTTCAAGCCTCTCATTTGTATAGGGAAAAAAAAATTATGTTAAGGGCAGAGCTACATCTAAAATAAGGAGGACAATTGCCCCCTTAATTTTTTCAAAACTTTCATCATAATCCTTAATAGTCGAAGGATTCTGAATTTGCACCATAAACTAATGAGCAAATCCTTTTTCAACCTATAAAGTTAGCTGACTTATAACAATTTTTTTTAAAAAAAAAAAACGTGTTTTTGATATTTTATTAGTGTGAAGGGTAAATTCTTCATTTCCATTGCTCCCATTTTCTCTCTTGCAAACATTAGAAAACTATCTTCACTCATGTATATTATTTCTTTCCATTTAACTTCCCCTCCTTTCTTTCTTATTACTCACATATATTTTTATTAAGAATAAACTAAAGTTTAAGCAATGTCTTTTTATTCCTAAGAACCTACTTTTTAGCATGGTTTCCGAGTATAGTGGTGATCAAGTTTGCAATGCCGCCTCTATTCACCCCCTCGATCCCATGAAATTTGTCCTGGCTTGTCTTCTTCTTACCTTCTCTTCTCGAGTCTCCTCCGGTCTAATCAAGTGAGTCCTACCTACAAAACACATCTGAGTTCCGGAAGCAATTATCTTCCTTTATGTGCATTACATCATGGAATCTTGTCAATTATTCGACTGTATTTGCATATTGACAATATCCAGCTTTTTTTTCCTTCTTTTATCTTCTAGTTAGATCCCACTTTAGTCAACTCGTTATATGTTGATAGATGCATGGTATGGCTTTAAGGAGCTTAATCTATTATTTCGTAAAGTGATGGAACAATTTCTTCTTCTTCTTTTTTATTTGGTTGATTTTTATAATAATTAATCGAATCCCTTGTGTTTTATTTTAAAAATATTAGCCTCGATATTGCAGTTTACACCAATGAGTTTAAAAGATTTTTCTTTGTTAATGGGTATTAGACTGGTAGAGACAATCGAACATCAAGTTCTTTAAAGGTTAGGTCAACTAAAGTCCAGCATGATTATCATAAAACAAATGAATGAATGAATAAGTCTAGCATAATCTATAAAGACTCATACTCCTTCATTCCCAGTTTTATTTAGTTTCAAAAATTGAACAAAAAACAAACGGAGAGAGTATTAATTTTAATGTTACTCGTATGCGAACATGAATTTTTCCTAAACCTTAAAGCAATAAAATTGTAAAATAATCCTAAAAAAACAGTGAGACGCATATCTAGTGAAAGGATAATATAGCAATGGAAATGAAGTAAAAAAATCCAACTTCTACAAGAAAAAGAGTTCGAGCACACAAACTCCCTCAGGGAGAGAGTGCACACTTCCTCAACAAAATGAGGAGGTGCGCACCTCTTCATTAAAAAAGAGGATGCAAATCTTCTCAAGAAAAATATGCTTTTCCACGTCTTTTTCTCCTCTCTCACAAAGTTTCAATATCCTTCGTTCTACGTATGTTTCTTTTGTTTTCAACTTGCACACTCTTCTGAATTTAATTCTAAGCAAGAGTTGCTCCTCATGATTGAATATTTGTTTATGTATAAGAATTTCATGATAAATACCCAAAAAAAGAAAAATTGCACAAGTTTTTCATGTGAAGAAGATAAAAATGCTCGCTCGAGCAGGTGCGTGCCTGCTCCAAAAGCAAGCAAGTGCACACTTAAGCATTCTTTGAATAAATATTGTTGCTCTTACGTGATTCATGTGTTTCTCTATTTTTCTTCCAGATACTTTCACTCTTTTGTCTCACATTGAACTAATATTTTGTCTACTTTTTTTTCTTCTCATGTTATGACTTACAGGAATCATGGAGAATCAACCATTTGATCGTGAAGGCTTGTTTATGCGCCTTGGATACAAACATGATCTTTTGCTCACAAATAGATATTATAGAAAGTGATGGGAGAGTGTAGCTTAGAAGGATCAATGGAGGACTAAAACTATTCAGTTCTTAATCTTTTCTTGACAAATACATATATATATAGGATACTTGACATAAACCATCAAACATCAAAACCAGTACAAAAGTCACAATTCTATTAATTGTGACTTTCTATTTTACAACCAATCTTCAAATATTAAATATCACAGTTCTATTGGTTGTGACACCTCTTTCAGCACTCCTATAAATGCTTCATTGATACCCTTATTTAGGAAGTTTTTATATAGCTCCTTTTCTGATTTCATACTCTCTCTTTCTTTCCCTCCCTCCCTCCCTCTTTCTCCCTCTCCACCTAAGCAGTAACTGCCTAAATACTCTTTATCAAGAATTGTTTTTATTCTTCCCTTAAGCTCCTTTCTTGTCTTATTCATTTTTCTTCTTGAAAGGCACATGTACTTACAACATATCCTCACCTTACACACTACAAATTTTACCCCTCAACAACTCTTATTTCAATCCAATCTAAATTGAGTTAATAATCTCACATGTCCTTAATTATATAATTATATAATGAGATAATTGCATTAGAAGTATATAAACTTTGAGGCTTTTATCATCTGAGTAGATATTTTTTTTTTATTTAATATATCAACTTTTTAAAAATATTAAATCAATTATTTCCATCCAAATTACCGTCATATGATGATTTGACACTTAATTAGAAAGATAAAATTACATTTTAGTCTCATTTTTCTTCTTCTCCATCATCACTATCATTTGTCTTTAAAGCAGTATGATTTTCCCCCTTCTTTTCTCCCTCTTCCCTTTCTTCCCTTTCTTTCCTTTCTATGGATGATGCTGCGCTGGATATGGGGACAAAGGAATCACAAGAGAAACTAGATAGATTGTCTTTAGTTTGTTTATCTTGTCCCGTTAAGTAGGCGGTGAATAAGTTAGCATTAAATGGGTCTGTTAGAATGGTGAGATCATAGAACAATTTGTTTATTCCTGCCACGCAAACGAGGTGTATGTGGACTGAGACAGATTGAATCCAGGAGGCACATATGGGATTTGTATTTATCGTGTCAGATATTGTTAGATATACTACTTTTCTTCTTGACAGAAATTGCAGGTCCATTTCTGCTAGTGTTTGTAAATGGCCTGTTGTTCGAGGGAGACAACATGTTATGCAGCTCCATATGGTGCGCTCTTTTTTCTTTTTTTTTGGTACTTTTTGTATCTGCAGATGATTATGCTTGGTCCATTGTGGGTCTCAACGCTAGAAGGTCTAGTCATGGAACTCAAAAATTCGTGAAGATTCAACTAGGGTTCAACTACAAAGCCGTGCTTTTGGAGAATATATTTTCTCATGAATCCCCTAGATTATTTAGATGTTCCAAAAGAAATAGCCAATAGAACACAATTTGTAACTCGGAAAAACCTGCCCTAAAACGAGAATCACTTTCTCGAATCCTTGTAGACATTGACTATCGGTGGTCTTCGACTTTTTTTTCCTTTGCTCACGTTCCAAAAGAAGAATTTTTTATGCTACTGCACGATTCGAGGCAAAAGATCTGGGTATTAGTTGTCATGCCTTCAATTGGAGCAAGAGGTCCTGTCCATTATGAAGTTCAAGCAAGTGTTTGCTCATTTTTTGTTTATTCTTTAATTAATTCATAATACTACCATCTAAGTCAAAAGGCAGATCTTCCACAAAACTTCCGTTTCTTACATGACTTCAAGTTGTGGCAACTTGGCAAGAGCCATTAGTTGGTTGTAAGAGGTTGTGGGATTTGGCTTCGGTTAGTTTCAGGTTTTATGATCTCTGAATGTATTTGGCCAAATTTGTCATCGTCACAGAACAGAAGATACTCAAAAGTCTCAAACTAAGGCTAATTTGCTTCTTTACTGTAGATTGATGGTCGCAACCCAATAAGAAATATAAGGGGAGGAAAAAAGATCAACGAATAAATCATGGTAGATGCATTCATAAGAAAATATTACGTATGGAAAATATACAAAAAAATTCCTAGTTCCTGGCCAGATTTATTACGGAAAGTCAAAATAATCTTGTCCTTAAGATACTTATCTCTACTTTCAATAGGAAGCTGCTGATGGGAGAGTGTATATCTTTATGCATCTCAACTATCTATTGAATGTGTAAGCCCTACCAGATGATAAGTTTGCGTTCACAATAGTCCCTCTGTAATGTAATCGTCTAAACGAATTATGTTCCTTCAACCAAAGGCCAACTTCATGAAGATACCCTTCTTTCCAGCATGTATTGACCGTCACCTCACCCCGTGCCTTCAGTCCGTTCAAGCAACCATTCGCCCACTTATCCCGAGGAAGAGAAGGAAGTAAGTATAGGTCTTTTACAGTGCTCTGGACTAGCATTTCTGCGATGGCCGCTGAAAAACTGAAATGGAACTAAAGACAATTTATCTAGTTTCTCTCGTGATTCCTCTGTCCCCATATCATACTGCTTTAGAGACACACGATAGTGACAATGGAGAAGAAGAAAAAAAAGTCTAAAACATAATTTCATCTTTCCAATTAACTATCAAGTCATCAAACGATGGTAATTTAGATGAAAATACTTGATTAAATATTTTTAAAAAATTAATATACTAAATAGAAAAAAAAATTGTATATACTCAATTGATAAAAAGCCTAAAGTTCATATACTTCTAATACAATTATCCCATTATATAATATTCTGAGTTTTCAATATGTCATTACATTTTAAAATGAATCAATCATATCATTATTATTTAATCAAGTTTCTAGTCTGTCATTCAAATCAATTTTTTCCACCAAACCATATGAACATGTCACATGACCTACACATGATTTTTTTTTTTTACGAAAATATCCCCGACGAGTTAATATATATGTTAAGTTTTCAATCTGTCTTTATATAATAGATTGAGTTTTTAATATGTCTTTAATGCTAAAAAGTCTATTATATTATTGTTAATAATTTTTCTAATAATGTATTGCATTATAAATTATTTATTAATTAAAAATAAATGAAAATAATTAGTACATGTTAGTATGTAAGCATTCAAAAATGTTTGTTAATTATAATTAGGAAACAAATAATTACATTTAAATAATTGTTAATTAGTCTTTTAGGCATGTAATTAAAAAAAATTACATTTAAATAATGTTAATTAGTCTTTTAAACATATAATTAGAAAACAAATAGTTACATTTAAATAATTGTTAATTAGGCTTTTAAGCATGTAATTAAACAAGAGCATGTAATTAGTCTTTTAACTATCCTCTTAACCATGTAACTAAAAAGAAAATAATTACTTGTCCGATTTTGTGGATGTTTTGTTTATTTATTTATTTTGAATGATTTGTATAGAACATTGGGAAAGAACTTTATTTTAGCGCATGAAATGTGTTCTAAGTGTATGGTTGTTAAAAAAATGCATGCTCAGAATATAATATTGACCAGTAAAGTTTTTGTCTCTCTCTATTTTGTTTTTAGTCAATTAGGAAAGAGACTTGAAAGGAACCAATACCCACTTTGTTAAATGAGTAGCAACCAAACAAGAAAAATGAGAAATAGAGAAGGAAAATAATAAAAGAAAGTTGGAAACCGGGGTTGAACTAAGTGAGATTATGATGTTCTGACTAGGACGAACTGCAGTTTTTGTTGTTTACTAATCCTCGTCAATACCCTAAATACGGTGGAGTTAATTTAAAATTATGTCAAAATTTTTTATATTTTATTGGATACATACGTAAGTAAGTGTTTGCATAGCTAATGATGGTGCAATGGATATGACGAGTATTAGCTGTTGCCTCAATGATAAAAGTAAAGAGATTGTTAGATTTTTGAATCAAGAGTGACATAGATGGCTTGTGGATCTCTAAGACGAGATTTTGGATCAGGAGAAATGAGAGAGAGAGAGAGAGAGAGAGTTGTGTTTGAATTAACGAGACTCATATGTAAGAGGAAGATTTATTAAATGTATATATGAAGAATAAATATTATATATTAAAAATAACGAGCAGAAAGATCATCTTATGATTTAAGATGGATTCATAAATCAAATAATATAAATTTTTGGATTAAAATGATATCTATACCACCCCAAGTGATTCCCCAACATGGATCTTTCCAACAAGATTCTATCACTTCTTTCAATTTTTAACCAATATGCATGCATTTTAGTGCATATTTAGTCTCTTACCCATCCGTATAGGTTAATCCGATTTATACGAAGTTATGTCGTTCCATATGATCATATCTCGTCTCTTCGTCGGACTGGTTCACGAATAATTTTTCTCTACTAAAGCACATCTATATTTGACTTTTTGACAACGACATGAATTTAAGACATTTAAAAATAAAAAGATGAACAAATTCTTTGAAATGAAAAAAATAATATTCCATTTTTTTTTTCAGATTATATGGTGGATTGGCAAAAGTGGATTCCATACAAAAGTTTCAGTATTTAACTAAAAACCTTATGTTACCTGTATTTTTTTTTATTTGGTGTATTTTGTGATAATTGTATTTTTTTATGACTAAAAGGGTTTAATCATTTCTAAACTTTAAATAACTTGAGATTGATTTCTTCAATTTTTTTTATTGTTTTTGGATATTCTTGAACTTTTTTAAAAAAAAATTTAGTCAATCATTGAGTTTTCACGTAAATTATCTTAAAAAATAACAATCACATAAATAGTTTTATGATAAAAATTATTCGATGAGATATATCTGGAGCTCCTAAAAAAATTAGAAATCATTTTGGAGTTATTTATATTTTTAATGTTTAAAAAATAAACAAATATATTTTTTATTTTGAAAAACTCTAAAAAAAAATTAAAAAATAGATTGAATTTTTTTTCAATATGTGTGTAAAGTTTTATTTCAAAATATCAAGAATTGAATTTAAAAAAATAATAATTAAAAATTATTGAATTGACTAAATTTTAAAAAATTAAAAGTTTAAAAATTCAAAACCCAATAAAAAAAATGAAAGACACTATATTTTTACTATTGTCTGATGTGAGAGGCCGCACTATAATGACGCTGAAAGAAACTGAAATAACCAAGAAAACGAGAAAGGAAACGAATTTAAAAATTGTATAGCCTTTAAAGTTGGGTGTTAAAGGTTTACAGCTATATGAAACTATGTAAGATCAGGATGAAAGTGATTGAAAATGAAAGTTGTATAGTTACAAGAACTTTCTGTATTTTTCCACGCACATCCTTGTCGACGAACACTAACATTTTTGTTGAAAACAAAGCAGAAACTACACCAACTGATAAAACTAGGTGAGCTGGAACTTGAAGATTCCTTTTTCTATAACTCATTTTCTTAATGTTTCATGCAAACCAGCTAATATATTTTATTCCGTAAATAATAATTAAAAGAAGTGACTAAGATCAGCAAAAGAGAACAATAGAAAGTCAGATCGAGAAGTTGAACTTCTATTTAACTGGCTTTGTCAGATGGAGATAAATTAAAATACATCACCAACTTGTACTACAACATAGAATATTTTATATTTGTTTAATGATTTTGATGTGATTAGCAGTAATATATATGTATATATATAAGGCAAATGAGTAACGACAAGGCAAAATACTGCTTAAATTCTTGGGTTTTAAGTTTCAGACTTGGACTGAAAAAAGAAAAACATATAAGAGATTAGACTGCCCAATTTTTTTCCAACACGATCACTAAAGTTTTTCTGATTTACAATGATTCCTTTAATTATCTTGTGGAGGCAGTTACTGGGTTGGTGTTTAGTGAGGAAGGTTATTATGTTGGTCTATTTTTTCTTTTTACAAATTGCAAACTACCCTTCTTTGGTACCATAAGATTAACGTGGAAGGTGCTTTGCTTGTCCTATCAGGAATTTAAACGTTAATTTTGATGAACACTACTGCGAGGTTTAAATGTGTGTTATGAATTTATAATAAAGAAAAATGGTAAATATTGCGAAAAACTTCAAGAAGATTATGAGTTATTGGATCATGATTTAATATAGGATCCAATAATAAGTCACAACCATCCAATGATCATGTGTATTTTTTAAAAATTTTTCTTGTTATTTTTTTCTTAGTGTCTTACTCTTGCAAAACTAAATTAACACTTTACCTCATTCTAAAAAAAATTGAACGCTTTAGCTAATATTGATGTATATTGACATATTCGGGATACTCGTATATCTTTCATGTATGTTTGTCATCAACAAAGCGACATGTGAAAGAATTATGTTTTATTCTCAATTTATAATTATGGCTTATTCACAGACTTATATCTCCACACGACATACAAAAGAATTATGTCTCATTCTCAACTAATATCTCCACTCGAAAGAAGGTTAGGATGGACAAAACTCACTTGAACAATACCTAGAAGGACAACTAGGAGCTTTACCACGAAACAACTCTCCCATAAAGCTTAGGGTGCATTCGGTAATTGATCAATGGGTTTATACCTACCCTCCTTCCACTTACCTAAAAGGGTGACTAAGAGCGCCATCATGAAACAACTTTCCTATGTTGATCAAGGGATTTATACCTACTTAAATGGATAGAAAATATACTCATTAAATAAAGGCACGTCTAAAGTCGACAATAATCATGATGTCATTATGTTTGACACTTATCTCCTAATCGGAATTAAAGGTTATTGACAATAAATAGATGGACGATTCGATCTAATCTTTTTTTCACACAACTTGACAAGTCTTATGACTATTATATAAACAACCATGAGAGCTAACAATGAGAGTTAGGGTTAAGAATTCTAAATCTCTTATTGGAATACGAGATGGTGAGAAATTCTTTGATATTATTCATAAATCATCACACTCATGCGGTTAGAATGCGAGATAGAGAGAAATTCTTTGATATTTTTCATGAATCATATATATGTGTGTGTGTGTGTGTGTGTGTGTGTGTGTATACACTTTACGTTAATATTAGATTATACAAAATAATTGTTGTTCCTATCAACTATACAAAAAGATGTGGTAAAGTTTGAGATAAAATCTACTATCATATCCATATATATACACAATAACTCTTATCGGATAATGTCTAAAATGCACCATAACCTTCTTACACAAACTCGTCTCTAGCATTGACTTATCATTGGAAGACCCTCCATCTAATTATGAGATTTGTTTTGCAAGTATTTCAACAATCGCAATTGCTTATGATCCAAAAAACATAATCTTTACACTAGCTATGAAAGAGCTACGTCATCCTTTAAGGTTTTTACGGTCTCATCACATATGGATACAAAAATATCACCACTACATTAATATTTTATACTATCAAAAAGTCAAAAAAAAAAAAAAGAATATCTTAATATGGATAAGGAATCTTGAAACATTGACATGGTTTTTATTCGCTCATGAAAGTTTTTTT